GAACGGTAGACCGACAGTCCTTGCTTCATGCAGGTCTGCGTTCAATCCCCAACCGTCCATGGTTGGGCACCATTCCTTTTCCCCGTCCCAACCCAAATACTTATCCTGACCCCTTCCGAGTGCTATATAGTCGTAATGGTTTGGTGCTTTTCCCCTGATAATTCCCTCTATCCCCATAGCTTCCTGAGCCTAGTCCCCTCAGGCTCTGGGACTAGCCTGGTGGCATACCTCTGAACCTTTTCTAACTTCGTTTTGTGTTTGACTAGATATGGACTCCACGCTGGAGTTGCATACTTCAGTATTGGTCTGACATATGAAGCATACAAGGTTCTGAATGATTCCTTATTCAAGTTTCTATTATTCAGTTCTTATGGTTGCCAGCTTTGCATACGCTGCTGATGTTATTATTTTGATGTGGGCTTCAGGGGACAGATCTCGTGTGATATCAACCCCCAGATCTTTCTGTGTTGTCAATCTCCACATTACAAAAACTTGAATTATGCCTGCAACAAACCATTTGCAATACAATGTTTTTTCCTATCACTGGTTGTAACTATTGTTGTATAATAATTGGGCATCACATTACATTTTTCTCATATTAGACGAAGATTTTCTTGAAAAGGTTCTTTTTTTTTTGGCCCTTACAGAAGGTCCCAGATATATAAACATCCAACGTACAAGCATCCGACTTTCAAGCATCTGACATATAAGCATCTGACATACAAGCATCCGATTTAAAAGAGTCTGACTTACAAGCATCTGACTTACAAGCATCCAACTTACAAGAATCCGAATTACAAGAATCCGAATTACAAGAATCCGAATTACAAGAATCCGAATTACAAGAATCCGAATTACAAGAATCCGACTTATAGATATTCAACAACAGAAACGCCCAACTTGTGAACGTATAACCTACGAACCTTCAACTTAAGAACATGTGATGTGAAAATCAGACGTACGAACATCAAACTTGCGAATATTCAACTTAAGAACAGCCTTCTAAATTTCAGCTTTTACATTTGAATCTGCTTTACAAACCAGCTTCATCATCCCCCCCCATAAAATAAAGTGCTCCTTTTATGTTCGCATGGCCACGTGGCTATTGGGTGCTACAAAAATATTCACAAGACCGAGAGTGCCAGGTGTGTGACTCATGCTGCCACAGTCAGCAGTGTTCTTGTACCCGGTGTAGTCCCACTATGCATTCTATGGACTACTTTACATGTTTTCTAAATTATTAGAACTTAAAAGGAAATTATTCTTAAAAATGGCTGATTACAAGGAAAAGTGTTAGTGATGTACCAGTACCAAGCTAGAGGCAACCCATTACCATAGAAAAGAAAGCTATAGCCAATCAACCACCATGAAAGGGAAAAAACACCGTCATAGATCACACATTCAAAGGCTGGGCTATAGGAGAAAAGGATAATGATGAAATTTCTTTACATTAAGGTTCAGCTGCTATATATATATATATACATCGTGTGACAGGTTAAAATTACAATTTTGCTCCGTAAACTTTGCCCATACTGCATGGGAAAGAAAGGGTGTGACTATTATCTTCTTTAATATTGCTCAGAATGAGTTGCTAAAAATTTTAATAGATGGGTACAACATTACAAGAAGCAGTTGGCGTATTTGAAAACCACGGCGTCGTTAAAAGAAAATGTAATGGTTTCTTTTGATTTTCAATTTTACGAGTTTTCTTCACCCAGAGTCATGGTGCTACTTTTCAAAAACAAGGTTCAATGGCTGGCGAATTTGAAAAACCGAGATGATGGGTGATATCCATTATGTGAGAGGGTTGCACATTTGATTTCACTGAGTAAACTTTGAGAATAGTGCATGGGAAACAGGTGTGAATGGGATCTCCTTAAATGCTGCTCACAAATGAGCTCTGGAGATGCCACTGTTATCAAGGACACAACTTAATTTTTACATTCTACAGTAGCCAGTGGCACTAAACATGACTCACCAATCTCTGCCCCCTTATACATTACCTTCTACTGCCACTTCCTTTACCAATTAGACCTCTTAAGTCTTCAAGAAGCATAGTCAGACAAGCAGGGGCAACTACATTATTCAATGTAAATGAAAATTTGGTGTATATTATTTTCTCACAATATTTGTCATGTATGTAGATTTCTGGTGGTTTAGCATTCTTCATTTACAGCATGTGTGTGTCTATGTGAAATCTAATTCAGAGGTACAAACAGTTGACTTACAAAGGTCTTTTTGAAATGCATCCCATTAATAAGTTGGGACCACCTGTGCTTGTTTCAGATACTTGTTTTCAAATATTGTACATCTGATAACAGCAGATTAAAAAAAATGGTTCAAGTGACTAGCATATACTTATCATTAATTTTAGCTTTTCAAAACCTCACGCTTGATTCACTCTCTTGAACATATCTTACTTGTTATAGTCTAAGATTCTTTACTTTATACTGATTGGATGCACTACATGAGAAATAATCTGACAACAAGAACCCTTCAAGCTTTACCAAACTTTACATATAGCAATTTAAGCTATAAAAGACAAACCTGACAAAATTGCAATGCCAAAAACAAAATTTGTAATTTGCAATTTCATTAAGTCATCAGTCTTAGAAACTTTCCAATTTGTATATTATCCATGCAATGTCAATACTATTTTTGTCATATTACTGGTCTGTGGTTTTAATTCTATGCAGGGTTAATGTTGTCAGATATACAGACTTTTACCACACGAGTCCAACATAAATAAGAAGTAAATGGAGTCTCATTATTTCAGGAAAGTATACTGCATGCCCTGCATCTCACTTAAATGTAAGAATTGATTTAACTGCAAGGCTGCAAAAGAGCCCGATCACAGCACATCAGTGCCATGCTTATGTACTGAGACAGCAAACGAAATTCCATATAATTCTTTCCTTCTTGTTGCTGGCAGGCTTACTCTCATATTAGGCTATGGTATGGCCATGAAGGCTCTATGGAAGAAAATAAATTTTGAAGTATTAGAAATTATTTTCTTCCACAATGATAACATCTTGGCCATACTAAGGCAATACCTTCTACCCTCACCTCTCATGAACTTTTTTCACTTGCACTGGTCAGGAACACTGGTGGTTCTTGGTCAGTGTCTCAAGTGGTAATGCATGACATGGCATGCACACATACACATTACCTTCATAACTTTCTGCATTCTTGGTGAGAGAGAAAGTTTCAAAATTGCAGTTAACAACCACTACTGGTCCAGCTGAGCTACTCCTCAGGAACACAGACCACAATATGGCCAGGAGGGCATCATTGTGAATAAAAATAATTTCTTATACTTCATGATATGTTTCCAAAAGTAGAAATGGTTATGTTCTTCAATTTGCAGTACAATATATAACAGAAAATGTCAGAGAGTACATATAGGTGTGTCACAGTGAAATCTGCTGCTGGCAAAAACAGAATTGATAGAACAGCTAACTCTGGCCATTCATGTATGCATAAGAAACAAAAAATTTACATTAATCAATATTCTGCATCCCAAGAATCAACCATAGCAGAAAATGCCAACTTTTCAGTTCCTTGTACAACTCCATACATCACCCCCCCATCCCCCCCAACATAAGCTAACTTTACACCCATATGGTTAAAGTTTTTCTAACCATTTTTTTAACCCTCCACTAGCCTTTGCTCATTCTCTTATTCCTTGCACGTGTCCATTCTTCTCAATTCACATTGTATCCTAAACAAAATGAATTTAATTCCTTTACAGAGATAAATACTGATAAGCTACCTGCTATCATTTATGAGTAACAATTTTTAGCCATAATATAAATTCCAATTCATCTAGTGGTTACACATATACCAAATACAGGTCCATCCATTTTACTCCGATTCAAAGTACAGATTCATCACGTGTTAAACATATTCCAAATTCAGACTCGTCTAATGTTTAACCAGATTTAAGAACATACTTACCTAGTGTTCAGCAATGTCCAAGTTCAGAATCACCTAATGTTTAGCTGTATCCAAGTTTAGACTTCCCTAATGTTTAGCCATGCAGTTGTAAAGAATACCAATATTTTCTTTTATTATCTATTACAATCTTTGTCCTCGGATACTTATCCCAACATATCTTAAGATCAACTTTTATATCAGGAAACACCCATTTTATAGCACACAGACTTCTGTTAGTCTGTGTGATATAGTTAGTGCTGCACTTCTCTGCATGATATGCAGGTGTATACAAATTAAATACTAACTCAAGTGTACAGTGTTCAAGTGAACAAATCCACAAGGGCCGTGATGAGGGGTTCGAACCTGTCTTGGAGAGGATGCGGGATTCGTGTGAGGGCAGTAGCACTCCCGGTTGCAATTCTTTTGATCATGTTATGGCACAATCAACAAAGGCATGTCTGGGATCATCACAGACGTAGGTTTGAATCCTCATCACTGCCCTTGTGGATGTGTTCATTTGCTGTATCAGGTTATTGTGATTTCTCTGTGTATACAGTGTTCATATGCGCACATGCATGCGTGCGTGCATGTGTGTGTGTTAAGTGTAGTTACAGAATGAGACCTACACTTCTGGTGTCCCGTCTTCCCAGTACTCTTTGTATGTACCCAGTGTGTGTGTGTATATGTATGTATGTATGTATGTATATATATATATTACATACACACACACAAAAGGGACTGATTTGTTCTGCCTTGATTGTTGTCAACTATTCCCAGTGCACACAAAAATATTAAAGGATATTAATCAATACAGTACAGATATAAACCAAAAATTCTTAAGTATATAAATATATGTAATTAAATTGCTTATTAGCTTTCTATAGAACTACATAAGAATTAATCAGAAAAATGTTGCTTTTGTAATATCCTTCTTAATATTTTCTTTTTTAAAAATCAAAACATTTTATGTTAAAAATCCTTCTACTAAGAAAAAACAAATGCCTAAGAAATAAAAAAAAAATACTTTTTAACAAGTACCCCACTTAATGATCCCTTGAACGCACCTCCGAGATACAGCAATATCATAGAAGAGAGCATGGTACTGATGCTGGGGCCGTCTTATGACCTTTTGTGGTTTCTTGCGACCAAGTTTCTTCATGGCAGTGTAGTAGTTCTTCTGAGAATCCGTTAGAAACATCTCCAGCACTCCACCTTCATACTGCATTGGTCAGGGAAGGTCACATAATAATAATAATAATAATAATATAATAATAATAATAATAATAATAATAATAATAATCAATAAAATATTAAAAAAATTAATTATAAATAAACATAACAGATTGTGCAAGATATAAATGGACAGAATCCCTGAATTGCTATAATTAACTTCACAGAAAAAGTGCACTTCTAAATGTAAACTTAAAATATCTTCAAAAGTATGTACAGTATACAGAAGAAAAAAATAAAAAATAAAAAACCAGTGTTGAATGTAATTAAACGCCATTTTCTGGATGAGTCCCGGCGGCTCCCCAAAGCTATACCGGGCTGATGTGTACACATTACACTGTGGTAACAGTCAGTCGATGGAGTTCTGGGCATACCGGGGACCACGAGCCAGAACCTGGGCCCCCTCAGAGAGGCACAAGGAGCAATGGCCTATAGACATCTGTGGTTGGAAGCAGTATATATCTGCCATTTGCCAGGTCAGGCACCAAGAAAGGTAGGAATCACAAAAATTAAAGCTGCTTAAAAATTGCAAACCGAAAGCCAAACGAGCAAGCAGAACACCTCAATCAGTAAACAAGCAAACAAGCATGATGTCACTCCAGCCGCCGTGCCACTGTCTGCACAATTACCCCCCTCCCTGGGAGGGGGAAAAGGGGGGCCTCAGAACTACCTCGCTGGCTACCCAATCCCAGTTCAGAGGCTGGATATAGAAAACACAAAAATCGACAACCGGAGGGTGGGAAGGATGCAGAGGAGCCTCCGGGTCTCACCCAGAGAATGGCGTTTCATTACATTCAACGTTGGTTTTCTGTGGAGGGCCCCTTTGGCTCCCCAGAGCTACCTTACCGAAGATAAAAGAAAAGATGGACTGGCCCTTGGAGGCAGCCGCCTTAAATTGAAGTCAAGACAACTGGCTGCAACCTGTGACCCAAGGCTACACAAGCCCGAGAAAGGTCCAAAACATTAACTAGGTACCGTGTGGCCAAAGCCACAAATGAACGAGCGTCATGGGCACGGGGATAGACCGCAGACTGGCTGGACTGAATAATCCTGTGGATGACCTGGGAGACCCACACCCTGGAAGAGAGAAGAAGGGAAACTGGGTCAACCCAAAGTGTGTCTCCTGCCATGGAGGCCGTGGCACACAAGTAACTGCGAAGAGCCGCAACTGGGCATAAAACATGATGCACCCCTGGCTGAACCAACCAAGCATCAACCACCCAAGGACCCCTCCAGAAAATAGCAGTCTCATTCTTCGCCAGAAAAAAAGGAGACAGCTGCAAATGAACAAATTGACCTAAAAAGCAGAAACCCCTGTGCGGAAGGAGAGCATGTAGCTTCCTGCACTGATCTCCAGAGACCAATGCCAAGAAGAAAAAGAGCCTTAGAAAAACAGTCCTGAACCGAAGGGGCCACCACAAACTGAGAAGACAGAAAAGAGAGCACCCCGATGGAAGGATGAACCCTGGCTGGCACTGAACCTCAAAAAACCAAAAGAAGAAGCCAGCGACGCAGCAGCCGATGCATGTCCCCTGGGGTTCGAACCCAGCGATCATGAGAGCGGCGGAAGGGATGTCCCCGAAGGAACCAGAACAGCTGCTGAAGCCAGATCTGACCCAACAGGTAAACCAGCACAGCGAAGTTCACACTCCTGCACAGTTGCTCAAACAACCGATGAGTGACCCAGATGCCCTCCAAAAACAGCTGAAGGCGGGATTGCAGCTGCAGCAACACTGCTAGGGGAAGATAAGGAAGCAGACCGAGAGTCCCACACAAGACCCAGCTAAGTCTGAACCTGAGAAGGAACCAAATGGGACTTCCCACAGTTCACAAAGAACCCAAACCCGGCAAGCTGGGAAAGAACCATATCCCTGGTGAGCAGACACATGGACCGGCTGGAAGCCAAGATCGGCCAGTCGTCGAGGTAAACCAGACCCCGAATCCCTAACAGACACACATGGGTCACCACAACCCGGGTAAGGCATGTGAACACACAAGGTCCAGATTCAAGCTGAATGGAAGGCAAAGAAAGTGGTAAGCCTGTTGCCCCATGGCAAAACCGAGCCAGTCCCTGAACCCTGGATGAATTGGGACATGCCAATATGTGTCCCGGAGGTCCAGGTACACCATCCAAGAGCCCGGCTACAAAAGCAGCGGACCTGAGACAGAGTGGTCATCCAAAAATAGGGGCAAACAACCCAGGGGTTCAGATGGGACAAGTTCAGAATGAACCATAGGTCCGCGCAGTCCCATTTCAGCACTGTAAACAGGTAAGAAACCAACCTGAGAGACACCGTTATTTCGACGACACCCAAGCGAACCCACTCCTGATGACCCGACACAAGTGCCGGAAAAGAGGCCCTGATCGGGGCCCCTACCAGCCCCAATCCCTCTGAAGGAGGAGGAGCCACCCAATTCCACCGCAGGTCAAAGGGAACGACCTGAAACGCCCATGTGTCATGGGACCAGGCAAGAGCTAACAGCATTAGCCTCCCCGCCATTGCCCTGTCAACGGGGCGAACTGCGAAAGGGCTGATGATCCTTACAAGAGCCCGACCGACACTCAGAGCGATCACTGCGCTGACCAGATGCCAATGGCTCCATAGGCGGGGCTTGCCTCAAATCTGGCACTACTGGCTTACAATGACCAAAAGAACCCCTGAGCTCTGGCACGACCCTTCCAGGAATGACCAACACCCCTCCTCCCCCCCCCCCAGAGAACCAACAAGTCCGATACAGGCAGGCAACTAGATGAAACTGCCTACAAAAAATGCACCACTTCAGACTCTGCAAACAGCAACAGACAAAAATCTAAGAGCCAGAGCCCAAGCGGATTCCAAAGAGTGCCTGTCAGCATGCAAGGTGCAAAACAAAGAACAGAGACACTGCTTCCTTCAGAATCGGCACAAACGTCCTCAACAAGGCGGACCGACACCCGAGCTGTCAAGGCAAGCGCACCAGATGCAGGCCCGGAAGCCACCTCTCCCACATCCTCCTTGAACCAGTCCAAAGACAGCTCCAGTAGGAAAAAGGAACGCAAGACCGAAGCCAAATGCCCAAGGGCACGCACATCCTCAGTGACCATGGATGCCGAAAGGGAAGGGACCTGCACGTGAAGCTGCACCTGGCTGATATCATGAGGAAGCACAAGGCAAACAAGTATGCATTGTGGTGCTCAAACTTGCCCCCCAGGTAAACCTGAATGACTAGTAAACTCTCGCCACCTCATAATTCACCCAGTAGAGAAAAAAAAGAGCCAAACTCAAAAAAAGAATGATCCATAATCGAGGAATAGTCCGGGTCTTGCAGGAGGTAAGCCACTTTGGCCTACCACACCTCCCTAGGTGAAATGCAAGATGCCAAAAACCTCCGGAAGGAGGGAACTGAAGAACCCAAGGAAACCCGGGACTGAATCCGGGAAGGAGCCGAACTCATATCAAACTCGTACAGGGACGGGGGATAAGAAAACCCCCTCCCCCTGTAACAACAAACCTCGCACCGAGGGTACCAACACCCAAGCGGGGTCAAACGAGGCCTAAGCCCCCCCCCAAGTCAATTCCTCCCCAGCCCCAGGATCCTCCACGTCAGGACCCAGAGCCGAGCTGTCCTCCAAACTCTCTGCCCCTGGTGAAAAGGCAGAGTTCACCAAAAAAGCAGAGATGATGAGGGGTCCGCTGGGGAAGAGGGTCCATTGCCCTCCATTGGACCAATGATCCCCAATGGGAGTTTCCAGGGCCCGTAGGCTGACTGTTAAGGGAAGCCCAGTCAAGGTACTGCTAACCGGTTATCCAGGAGCTACCAAGAAAGCTAACTAAAAGCTAAACCCATGCAACGTGTACAATCACAGGGGGGCCTAGAGGAGGGCCACCAAAAATACAAGTGGACCTAGAGCCACACAGGGCAGACCTCCGCTAGGCAATTAAAACAAAAAGAGTAGAAAACCCTGCAAAAGCACAATGTCTCCAGGGAAACAGAACTGGCTGCTATGAGTATATCAGACAGCTGCACAGTATCTTGTTCCTCAGCCAGTGATGATATTACCTCTTACCCAAGGTCAAACAGAGACAGGAACAACCCCAGCTGACCTCAAGGGCAGGCAATCATCGAGCTACAAAAGAACTCCGCGGAGGTAGTTCCCAAATGGCTTATGGAAGATAACTCTAAACCGCAAGGGCAGTACTTACAGGGACACCTAGGGAAGGTGACCCAAGGCCCAGTACCACTGGAATTATTCCAGGCTCGCACACAACCACAAGGCACAGCACTGCTCAAGTACTGGAGCCAGAATCAATCAACCACCACCCAACATAACAGCATCAGAACTGGAGTTGGGTAGCTGGCACGGGAGGTCTGGGGCTTCCCCCTTTCCCCTCCCAGAGAGGGGGAGCTGTGCGAACAGTGGCATGGTGGCTGTGGTGACATTATGTTTGTTTGCTTCATTTTTGATTGGAGCATTCTGCCTGCTCGTTCAGCTTTCAGTTTGCATTTTTTAACCAGCTGAAGTTTGTTTTGAGATTCCTACCTTTCTGGGTGCCTGACCTGGTAGACGGCAGACATAGATTGCTCCCAACCACATGGGGGGGTGTCTATAGGCCATGCTCCTCGTGACTCTCTGAGGGGGGCCAGGTTCTGGCTCGTGGTCCACCGTAGGCATAGAACTCCATCGATTGACTGTTGCCACGGTCTAATATAAACACACATGAGTCTGATATAGCTCCGGGAAAGCCGTAGGGGCTCTCCACAGAAAATATATAAAGACATTATTTCATAGCATAACAATAATATTTATAACAAAATATATCATAGTAAAAATAATAATAATACTTATAATATTAATGTTAATACTAGGCTAGTAATACTAATACTATAATAAAAAAATGGTAATAATAATAATAATAATAATAATAATAATGATAAAAATAGTAATAATAATAAGAAATGTCATAAATACTAAACTATAGTAATATCAATAACAATCAGAAAAGGTACAATGTAGAATATTAATATCAAAATTATTGTTACAGGTTATTTCAGAGGCATTACATACAAATTTTCATTTTCTGATTATATAGAAATATAACTTTAAACTTTATAATTAGTATTTGTATCATTATTTTTAAAATATATTGCCTAAAATCAACTTAATAAAGTGCCCATTAGCAATATTTCAGCTTAATAACTGTTAAGTACTTATACAAAATATAAAATGAAAGGTGTAATTTGACTATTCATATACAGTACATGAGAGGAGTATCAAAATTCGAAGAGCATAAATGAAACAGCTGAGAGAGAAAATGAAGTGTTATCGGTAAAGTAAAAATGTGCTATTCAATGTGAAGTTGAAGCAAGTTCTTAAAAGTTTAACTGCTTTTTTTGTTCGTGTTACACTGATATCACTCATAATGTAAATGTTACTCGGGAAACGGGGGGGGGGGAGATACAAAATCATTTTGTTATGGAAAGGAACATTTTTGTTTTCCTTGGTAAATGAAAATAGTATCTTAACATTATTTGCTCAAATTTAGCCATCTATTAACGATCAAATATATTTCACATTTGTCAATGGGCCATTCAAAATTAACAATGCGAGTAATTACCAAACACAAATATCTAATAAAACGTAATATACTGTAATGTTAAAAAATAACTTTTGATCTTACGAGTTAACACTTACATTAAGTTCGAGCAGGTCGTTTCAAAGCAGAGGTTATGGCAAAACAACATGGGGTGAATGCCAGGAGATTACATGTATAAAAAAGCATGAATATATCAGAAATTACAAAAATATATAATTATGTATATGGGCAACTGCTCTGTACAGCTATATGTGCTTCAGAAAGTAATATTGACATAGGTCAAGAAATTGAAAATGTAATTGAATTAGTTGTAATGGATTTTTTAAGTGCTAGAGCTGAAAATATTAAGAATATGTCAATTCACATTTGTAAACTATCAGAAAATCATACATGCAACTATGCAAAGACTAGCATCATTTACACATTTTGATTTAGCAATTAAAATTAAGACATTCCAGTTCTAGCTCAGTTTATGGTTGAATTGAGTTATTTGTCTGAAAATTAAAAAGTAGAATAACTGTTCTGATATGCGCCAAAGCCACGTAAGGAAGGATGGTGATGTAACACATCCAAACACCAGATAACCGTGTACCGTGTGGTTCACATGCAACCATTCAAGTGCTTTGATCACATACACTGCAAGGCAAGGAGGGGGGCAAAGCTCATAAATCTGCTTTCAAAACACACGTGATTCTTGAAGCATTATCACCGAAAATACCAAGTGTCAGGTAAATATAAATATCCTTTCAGTTTCCTAAGTATACAAATAAGTCATGATAATTTACAATGTACTCTTTATAAAATTGTACTAGAGTGTAGACAGTATGTGTTTCCTACAACATGCCCTCCTCCTGGCTAATGCTCTAGCAATACAACACTGATATTCAGTATCAGTGTTGTCGCTCGAGCAATGGATGCTGCTTTAAAGATATTAAAACTTTGATCATGCTTGTGACAAACAGATGCTAAAAACTATAAAAAAAACTATAGAACGATGTAGGACGCCCGGAGCGCTTGAGGCTGAGTGCTGGAAACTTACCATCTGTAGAGCGTCAGACGTGAAATAGATACCAGTGTTAAGCTCAGTAGCGCAGTAGCACCGGTGTTAAAGCATACTAGCACACATGATTATCATCTTACAATAAAAGGACAAGAAAATAATAATAATATAAGTAATAGACAGGGATAAGGATAACACCACAATACACCAAAAGCTAACTGGCCAGGAATCTGCTCTAACACCGGTATAAAACTGCATTAGCAATGAAAACAAAGAGAAAAAGAGAGGTCTGAACTAGTCAACATCACTTGAGTCCCTAACTGAAGAATTTTAAAAATTACTTAAACACAACAATGAACTACAATATAGAATTTATCTGTTGCTATATCAAAATAATGGATTTTCTTTACTATATAGTATATAAATATAAAAAATAACACAACAGTAAGATCCATATTTGGAATGTTATAAAATAATTATCTACAATATAATAGTATAAACCAAGTTAATTAAATATCCTGTGCTTAAAAGGCTTGGAACTTCTTTTTCTAATACTAGATTTGGAAAATAGAGCGCTAGCTCTGTACTCCCCACATGACCTAGGGAAAGTTACCCATGATACATGCACAAAACTTTGATCATATACAGTTTAATCTTAATACTGGTCACCGAACACTTGGCCAAAATGAAATATTTATATCAATACACATCGGACTAATATGTGACGACTTATGTTAAAATTTGTCACCACTTGCGTTAATATTTGTGACAATTTGTTAAAATTTGTTATCGCTTATGTTAATTTTATGCAGTGCAGATTCATAATAATTTATCTTACTTAAAGATTAGCTATTGTAGGTCATACTATATACACTTCATTACTAATGAAAAGTCGAGGCTTTATAATAGGCCATTAAATTATGGTCTAATTTACTAACATCATAACCTGATTGCATAGAGATAGCTTCACTGATTAAATAAAAGCATGCACTCTTGTTGGTATATTTTCAAAACGAATTTTTGGGGTTTTACACATTATAATACATGCAACTATTGAATAAACAGAAAGGTGGACTAGTAATTACTCAAGTGCTGTTTCAGAGTTCGGGCCAGAGAACAGCCTTATGGTCACATAGGGGCTCAAATAATCTTTGTCTTAAGCAGCTAGCAGCTTCCTCAGAATCACACTGAGGTTTATAAGAAGCTCTGAGGGATATTCTAATATACAAGTGTAAGAGTAAGTCAAAACTATGGGAAGCACACTCTCCATTAAAAATTTATCAAGTAGCATCCGGAGATTGCAATAAAGATATTAGCCGCTTGTCAGTAAATGCATTTCATTAAATAATTGATTCTTGCAAGAATCTTTGAGCACTGTACTTCAAATTATTATATTGCTCATACAGAAAGTCTGGATATATCTATCATGATTGAAATCCTCATGCACTTACAATTAATTTAAGCATAATGCATTTCAATGGCAAAAACTCTTTGAAAATTTGTTATGGTTTATTAATATTATCTAAATGATAAGAAATACTGATGCAACATAGTTGCCCTGCCTTAAAGAACTACTCAACAGAATATAAGAAGTATGTGTAAGGAAGATAATAAGTTGGGGGGACATGGAACACCAAAAGTAACACATCTTACATCTACTTTTGGCACTGCAGTAATAATACTTACAGACTAAGTAATAAATATCCTAGTTGTGTAAGCATATTTATTACTGGTGCCCAACAACAATCTCAAAAACAAAACTGTGCCATCACAACTGCGGCTGCAATACTGCACAGGTTGAGAGGCGGGACCAAAGAGCCAGAGCTCAACCCCCGCAAGCACAACTAGGTGAGCACAGGGGTTAAGAGTTAAAGAGTTTAGCTTGAAAGCCGCTAATAAAGAGAATAAATGGGTGCCTTTCCATATCTTTCTTACTAGCTAAAAAATTAATTGGGTGCACACTGAGTGTTAGCATATTTATCTGGGGTGTAAAGGTCCAAACAATGATGATGCAGTACTACTAAACATCAGCAAGGTTATTATTAACTAGTCCACACCACACATACCTTCTTCTTGAGTGCATTGAAGTTATCAATGATAACACCAATGAAGAGGTTCAGTGTAAAAAATGATCCACACACAATGAAGATGACAAAATAGACATAAGCATAGATATTAGCTTCTCTATCAGGTTGCTTATCAATTCCTCTGCAATCTACAGCATCTGCCATTACCTCCATCCACCCCTCGAAGGTTGCCTGCATTAATGATAGTTTTTTATAATGAGTATTTTAATCAAACATTTTAATCCATCTTGTATATACAAAAAGTATCAATTTATTGGATCCCTATATTAGAATAATTTGCCACACTTGGTGCCTAATAAAATACACCATTCCCTTACAAGCCAATAAGCAAATAAGATTTTGACCTTACCACTTGAAAAAGGGCCAGATAAGCATAACCCACGTGGTCAAAATTTATCTTGCTGTTAATCCAGCTGTAATTTTTCTTCAAACACTCATTCTTATTTTCAACCACCTGAAAAATATGTATGTTATATAGTTTGAAAAATGCCAAATACTTTCCTTAAAACTTTTTGTATGTATTACATTCAAATAAATTAATTCACACTAACAGCTACTGATTATGCCTTCCTACTGATCTGGCAAACAAGATAAAGGTACCTGCGACACGTGTAGGAGACGAACACAAAAATATATAACACAATGACAATATTACATTACCTTTAATGGCAATATTTCTGCAGTCTTACGGTCAATGCACTTATAAAATTTTCCTCCAAACATTTGAACACCCATGATAGAGAAGATTAGCCAGAAGACAAGGCATACGAGCAACACGTTGAAAATGGACGGGATGGCATACATAAGTGCGTTCACCACTATCTGTTGATAAACATATAATCGTTAACTTAATTGTTAATTTACCTTCCACCTTTAAACATAACTACTCAATATAAATAGTGCTGATCAAAAAATTGCATACAGTATAAGGAATTCCTCCACACCTGTAACTTACATCAGCTCTTGCAAGTCCTCAAAAGCCTAACAGAGACCCACATCTGACTCCCCCCCTTCCTCACAAAGGTCAGAGAAACTGGGGATTCATGATCTCAATCACCGAAGAATCAAACTCCCAGAAAGGAGATGAAGCAAAAAATCAGCGTTGAATGTAATGAAACGCCATTTTCTGGGTTAGACCCGGAGGCTCCCCGGAGCTTTACCAGGCTGATATGCTAATGTCAGACTTTGGCATCAGTCATGTGTATGGAGTTCTAGGGCCTACCGGGGACCACGGCCAGAACCTGACCCCCTCAGAGAGGCAAGGGGAGCAATGGCCTATAGAAACCCCCGTGTGGTTGGAAGCATTCTATGTCTGCCATCGACCGGGCCAAGCATCCAGAAAGGTAAGCATTCCAAAACAAACCCCTATTCTGGTGAAAATTGCTACCTAAAGCCAAACTAGTGGATAGAACTCCCCAACAGAAAACAAGCAAACTAGTATGACGTCACACGTCACTGCGCCTCTGTCTGCGTAGCTGCCCCCCTCCCCGGGAGGGGGAAGGAGGACCCCCAGACCTCCTACGCCGGCTATCCACCCATCAGTACTGAGGCTGGATGTCAAAACACGCGAAAAACCGCCGACCGGAGGGAGGGAGGGTTGCCGGGTAGCCTCCGGGTCTCACCCAGAAAATGGCGTTTCATTACATTCAACGCTAGTTTTCTGGGGGGAGCCCCGTCGGCTTCCCGGAGCTAACTACCCACAGAGGATGGTCAAAGGGACGGAACCGGGAGGCGGACACCACGCACCCACCACGGAAGTGAGACAACCGGCAGCAAACGCCAATCCAAGGCGCCACAGCCCCGAAAATGCCCGAGAACAACGAGTAGCAAGGCCCCCGTATGAACACCAAAGATCCATGCCCGAACGACCGCAAGGACACGTCGCTCAGACGGCAGCGAGAGCAGCGAAGCCACGAACACCACGGGCATGAGGGAAGAACACAGGCAAGTTAGCCGCTAGAACATGGCTGATAACCCGGGACACCATCACCCGCAAACCGGGAAGAACAGAACCGGATCAACGCAAAACGAGCCCCGGACACAGATGCTGTGGCACGCAAAGAACAGCAGAGGGCCGCCACTGAACACAAAACATGACACATCCCCGGCCCGACCAACCAAGCACCAACAAACCAAGGACCCCTCCAGAACGCAGCAGCCCCACCCTGTGCCAGAAAAGATGGAGACTGCTGCCACCAAACAACCAAAACGCTAAAACCGAAGGAGCAAGAAACTCGGTGACCCGACCCCCAGAGGCAAATGCCAAAAGGAAAAAGAGCCAATGAAAAAACAAACCGGAACCGAAGGGGCACTACCAACCGAGAAGACAGAGTACGCTGACCAGAGACCAGGACGGTGCAGGCGGTGCACGAACAGGCCAGAGGTGAAACAATGCACGAGACAGCTTACTAATGGTGCAGAAGCAACACCAAGACCGAAAGCAAGCTGAAGCGGCTCCGCCAGCGCCGCACGAAAAGAGGCGACAGTCTGTGGCAAGACAATGGCCCCCAACCCCCACCAGAAAACCAAGCCGACGTTAACAAGTGCAGCCACCTAAGAAGGGACAGGAGGAAAAGGAAGGAATTCCAAATTCCTTCCCTTCCTTGGCCTTTTGGGAAAGGCCAAATTTTGGCTCCAAAAGAAGACAGACCTGTGACAGAGTACTCATACGAAAGGAGGGGCAATAAACCCATGGGTTCATGAGACAAGTTCAGAATGAACCTGAGGTTCGCACAGTCCCGGTTCGGAACCGGAAACAGGCGGGAAACCCACCGGAGGGACAATGCCACCACAGGCCACACGAAACGACCCAAAAAGCTCAGAAATCATGGGACCAAGTGTGAGCAAACAGTGCGAGCCTTCCCCCATCGCCCCGTCAATGGGATGAACCACGAAAGGGCTGACGCCCCTTATGCAAACCTAGTCTCCACACAGAGCGATCACTACACTGACCACATGTAGATGGTTCCAAAGGCTGTGCTGGCTCCGAAGCTGGCACCACCCAACCTACCACGATGGGAGGAACCCCAAGCCCTGGCACAACCCTTCTGGGAAGACCCCCCCATGGGCCCCCCCAGAGAACCATTAAGTCCAATATGGAATGGCAACTAGAAGCAGCTGCTAGCAGATACTACCCAACTGCAGAATCCACAAACAGCAAGGGACAAGAAGGCGACAAAAACTTAAAAGGAAAACCCAAGAAAACCCAAGCAGTTTCCAAGGAGGTTGTGAGCACCACTTGCCAACACGCAAGGCGAGAAGCAAAAAACAGAGACACCGCATCCTGCAGGATCAGCAAGAACAACTTCAACAGGGCAGACGATGCACGCTCCATCTGGCACCGGACCCAGGAACGGCCTCAAGCATCTCCACATCTTCCTCAAGCCAATCCACGCACAGCTCCAATGAGAAAAGAACTAAAAGACCGAAGCCAACAGTCCACGAGCGCACAAATCCTCAGCAACCAGTGGAGCTGAAAGGGTGAGAACTCCACTGAAAGGGTGAGAACCTGCAAGTGAAGCTGCACGATGCCAACATCCCAAGGAAGGGCTGAGATAAACAAGCACACATTGAGGCCCTCAAACTTGCCCCCCCAGGTAAACCTAGACCACTGTCAGAGCCTCACGCCACTCAAGCGTGCAGGACCGACAGAACATATGCCAAGCCCCAACAAAAATACAGGACAGTTCGCTAGCTAGAACAACTCCGGAACCACATAACAAACCCAGTAAGGAAACGAAGATCTAAACCTGAATGACGACGGAGTCATTAAGGAGGCATAATCAGGGTCATGCAGGAGGCAAGCCACAATGGCATCTTGCCTCTAATGAGGCGGGATGTGGGAAGCCGAAAACCTCGATTGACGGGATCGATAGACCTGAAGGGAAATGGAACCAAACCCTGGGGGGACTGACAACGAATCCAACTCGTATGCGGAGCGGGGAATGGGGAAGGAAAACCCCCACTCCCTGTAACAGTAAGCCCCAATCAGAGTGTACAAAAACCTACACAGGGTCCAACGGGGCCCAAGGCCCCCAAGTTAATCCCTTCCCTGCCCCGGGTACCTCCACAGCAGGACCCGGGGCCGAGTCATCCCCCAAAGCCGCGGCCTCAAAAGGAAAGGCCGGAGCACCCGGAAAAGCAGGAGGAAATTGGGCCCACTGGTCAGACCCAGACACTTCGGCAGGAGGAACCAGCTACAATGCCTCCACCGCTGGAAGAGGCATCCCCCGAGACCGCCCAAGTCTCTAAACCAACTAAACCCTGCCCCAACTCCGAAACCCTCAGACGCTTCAGAGCTGGAAGTATGTGGGGGAGGACCAGAACGAACCACAACAGGGAAAGGCCTAAGGGGCGTGAACTGAACCAAAGTTGAAGCAACTAACACCTCCAAGTCTGGGTCCCTATAACCAAAATGAAGCAGCCTCGGGGCTTCCGGGTCAGCAACCAACCTAGCGCGCTGCAGCAACCTAAAACGAGCATGCAATGCCTGAGCTGCCTGCAACCGAATTGTGTCATCAGTGGACTGGGTAAACTGAGTCACAAACAACCAATAAAACTCAAAGAACTCTGGGTCGGAGGTGTCACCGACCCAGGAGGCAGCATGACGGAGGTAGAAACGGTGAAGATCACCCGGAGACAAGGGGGACCGAGCAACCCTCAAGCTCGCACAAGGCGAGAGGAGACCCAGGGGTCGCTTCCATCAGACCCAAGCGGGGGTTTCCTAGGACCCTTAGATGGAACTCATACTAAAGAATGCCCAGGCAGGGTACTGCTAACCAGTACCCAAAGTTACCAACAAAACTGCTAAAGTTGCCCCCTCCCCCCTCAGGACATGCACACTCATGGGGGCCTAGCAGGGGACCACCAAGATACAATCGGGTGACACCAAAACCAAGGAGCAGAACCCCTCACCAGGCAAGAAAAAAACTGCAAGAGGACAACATACCTAAGTGGAACAGAGCCGACCGCTATGAGAGGTGACAACTAACTGCACAGTACCCTGCACTCCAACCAGTAACAAATACTACCTCCTACCCAGAAACAAACAGGGGTGAATGAAACATCCCAGTTGACTTCAAGGGCAGCCAATCACCAAGCAGCAAAAAACCTTGTGAAGGTCTTTCACAAGGTGACTTGTGGAAGATGGCCCCAAGGGCAGTACTTACAGGGCACCTAAAGAAGATAATTGTTGGAAATAAACTAACATTTAATTACCATTGTACGCTAGGCATAGCATTTACTAATCCTACTAATTTGTAGAATTAACAGAAATTAATATTTTCCTATCTATGCGACATTTACCAAATTCTTCCTACTTAGAATGGCGGTATTGCGTTAGATAATACCTAGTAGAGGTATAAATACTACCAACATGCCAGAGAATTGAATAATATTTTCGCCTTTTATCAGTATTCTTTACAAGAATTATTAATTGACAATATAACAACTAGTGATCTAATAACGTGTTATCAGCTAAAGGATCACTACATAACAGTTTATCTGTTATGTTAAATTAACATGGAGGAAGCAGAAATTTCTCTTCATTTCTCGTTTAATGAGAACGCTGTTCATATTAATTACTAGTTGACGAGAATTTAAATAATATACAACTCCCTATAATTGCAACCCTAGTCTCATTAATTCATTAAGTAGAATATTCATAAGGAAAAGAATTTTCCGTTTCTACTGAAATATGAGTACACATGAGAGGGCGAGACGGGTTGAGGGAAAGGAGGGGGAGAGCGTCACTGAGAGCGGGACTACTGGCTGGGTGTCCTGATTTGGCTACAGATACCGAGTGAGGAGACATTTTCGCAAGCTACGTGAAAGGCCTTTGCTATTAATTGGCCTTGAAGTGCAAAATTACTCCTACTGTGATCTCAAGGATTGCATCGGCAAGCAACAATAACGTTAAGAGGTTTGTTTCATTGCTTTGAGCTCATAACATGTAAACTTTACCCTTAGTTCATCGTTATACTGTGCTCCCTCCTCCAAACACAAGTATGTCCCCAGTGAATCTAATTTACCCTTTTACTGTCCCATAATGACATAATCAACTGTGTGTAAACAATTTTTACACCATATTGGGTTTCCAGCATGTGTTGAAGCAGACTAAGGCGAGACAAATTCCCACGCCACGCTAGCGGGTCACGTGTTCCAGCAGGTTCTAGATGACACCGTCTTACAACCACGCTACCGTTCACTGTCACAGCTAAGCGGCTGAATCTTAATTAATTTACTAATTAACTTCTCATAAATTGTTGAGATTTAATAAGATCTCGAATCTATATCTCATCTACGTGTGCTAGGAATTTAATCATATTTCTTATATCCTCGTGAACTTTAGAAAACGAGATAGGAATAATTTTCTTGTCTAATAGTTATTACTATATGATCTTGTCACTAACCAACTTACTGAATATTTATCTAAATTTTTTATATTTCTTAGTAAATTTTACTAACCCCTTTCGAGGAAGAACCAGCCTCGATTAAGTGTACTTGGAGTACTTTGACTTCTAGTATTAACCCTCCATTTATGTTTGGGAATGTTCAACTCTTGAATAATAATTATTCGTACAGTCCATTAATGCTTTATAAATAATTCTTAATGATTACACCATCCATACGCACTGGTATCTTAGTCCATTTATTGCATTAGTTATCTGTTTTCCTTTTCAGTTAAAACAAAGGGTGGTCCTTCGAGTATTTCGATTTAATTACAGGCATACCTCAGAATAAGAGTTTAATCCGTTCCTGGAGACGCCTCGCCTTCCGAAAACTCGCATTCCGAAGTTAATTTCCCCATAAGAAATAAAGAGAAATGAATTAATCCGTTCCTGACTACCCCAAAAACCCCACATCAAACTAAATTTTTATACCTAATTTACCTAATTCATCTAAATAAACCTACAAAACTGTGTTCCAGTTATTACTTACCTTGCTGTCGAGTGCTGTAGGCGTATGGAAGATGGTGAGGAGGGGGGAGGAGGAGAGGAGTTACTGTTTGGAAGGGGAGTCCCCTTCCATAATCACATCACATAACCCCATGCCTTGTAACACTATGGATACCACTTCTCTTTCTAAATTTTTCAAACCAGCCCCTGCTTGCCTTAAACTCTTTCTTATCTGCATCACTCGTTGCAGGGGTATTCTTTAGAAGGTCTTCGTGCAACACCCTGGCTTTCTCACAAATAATGGCCTCCGAAACACTATCACCCCTCAACTCCTTGTCGTGTATCCAAATTAATAACAACTTTTCCACTTCTTCAAGTATTTGTGGTCTTTGTGCCGTTAATGTTCCTACTCCTTTTGCCACTTTAGCACCCATAATCTTATTTTTCTTCTTAAGTATAGTGCATATTGTTGATGTGGCTTTGTTGTACTGCCTACAAAGTTCAACAACACGTGTACCGTTCTCATGCTTCCGAATGATCTCTTGTTTCTCCTCTATTGTCATCCTCACATGAGCTTTCTGGCCTTTATCCTTACCACTGGCTTTCTTGGGACCCATGGTGAGATATATAATAACAAATTGTATAGACAAATCACCAAAAATCCAACAAAACACTGAAAATCCGCGAGAAGAATTGATGTGGGGGTAGTCACTGAGCGCGAGACAATAATAAACTGAGGGGCGGAGGGGCGACGAACGCGCTAGGTCGGCTGTACGCGTATCAACAAACTCGCGTCCAAACTCGCCTCCCGAAGTAACCCTCGCCTTCTGAGACAAATTTTTGGAGTAAATACACCTCGCCTTCCGAAAACCTCGCATACAGGGACAATCGCATTCCGAGGTACCACTGTAATTAAATATCATTATATTAAGAGTTAGCTTTCCCCCTACAGTAATTACCTAAGTGTAATTACCTAATTACCCTATTATATTACTAATATTATATCACTAATAGGTGACCCTAGACACATGCAGCCCGAGTACTTGTTAATCCTGGCTCACATACCACAATGGATAGCACCACACCACAATGCACAGGGCTGGAAATTGGGAGCCAAAGTTGCATGACCTTGCCCGCCTCACATCAGCCACAGAACTGCAGGGTGGATAGCCGGCACGGGGGTCTGAGGCTCCCCTTCCCCCCTCCTGGGGAGAGGGGGGTTGCGCAGACAGCTGCGCAGCAACGCTGTAATGTCATGCTCGTTTGCTCGTTTTTGTTTGGGGAGTTCTGTCCACTATTTCGGCTTTCAATAGCAATATTTTAACCAGAATAAGGGTGTGTTTTGGGGTGCTTACCTTTCTGGGTGCCTGACCCAGTCGATGGCAGACATAGAATGCTTCCAACCACACGAGGGTTTTTATTGGCCATTGCTCTTCGTGCCTCCCTGAGGGGGCCGGGTTTAATCTCGTGGTCCCTGATAAGCCTAGAACTCCATGTGTATTGACTGATGCCAAAGTCTAATACATTCATATCAGCCCGGTTAGCTCCAGGGAGCATTAGGGGCTCCCCCCAGAAAATTAGTTACCTATTTTATGCATCATTATTAAGTGGTGCTGTGGCCCCAAGCTGCACAGTGGTGCTGTGAGCTCCTGCTGCATGTGCCAGCCTTGGTTGCTCTCTCAGTACTGAGGCTCTCACAGCCAGTACGGGAGCTGATGATTTTTTTTTCCAAGATGTCATCCATTGACTGGAGTCCTTAGGCACAGGGATGTGAGCCCCATGTACCCAAGGGAGTTTTGAATCGTTCCCTATACCTAAAAGTGCCATATGGCACACTGCAGTGGTTAGTAAGTACATGAAACAAACATTTTATGACTTGTTTTGGAAGTATACATGCTTACACACATATACTTTACTTGTGGATACAATATGCATGTAAACACTTTGTGGAAAAACATGAAGACATTAAATCCCCATACACCAAATACACTTAACATACAGGATAAACACAGAATGACTTTATACAATGACTTACTCCATTACAAACACATACATATACATACAGATTTATGCTTTACCTTCATTCCTTCCCAGCGAGATATAGCACGCAGGGGTCTCAAGGCTCTCAATGTTCTAAGACTCCGAAGAGCTATGAGATTATCTTGTTCAATGAAGAGGCTACACATGGACACCAAGACAATGAAACAGTCAAGGATGGTCCAAACAGAAGTGAAGTACTTGACAAAGCCCAAAGCAACCCACTTCAGTAGCATCTCAAGAGTGAAGAGGACGGCGAAGGCCAGATTCAGGTAGTTGAGAACCTCCTGCGGTAGATGTGGTGAAGAATTAGAGCCTTGGAGCAATGCAGCATTAGTGAAAGACTGTTTTGGGATCTTTTGAAGATAAATTATGTGTGTGTGTTTGCTGATTAATTTTTCACTTTAAATTTGGACAATTTAGGGGATCAAAATATAAAAATATATAAGGGTTCTAAAAGTATTACACAAAGAAGGGTGATAGAGTTGGTAGAGGGAATCCTACAGAAAGGAAGGGTACACCAATAATCTACTGGCAGTAAGGACTTCTCAAATGAGTGTATAAACATGTATTATCAATTCTAGCTCAACAAATGAATATCCTTTCAAGAGAAAAGTTGTTCAATTACATTTTTTTATGAATTATCAAGGGGAGAGCAAAAAACACACACACACACACACACACAACTGTACACCGCAGTTTTCTTAGAAAGCCTAACCAGTGGCTTCAACGACGACACAAATGCAAAATACTTCTTGATCGGCATTCCAAGTTTCTTTTGCCAGTTGGACATGACATTAACATTGGCCTGACGCACAAATAAACAATGAAGCCAGGGCGGTCCAATCATAACATTACAAGCAACACATTGGACATGAAAAATGTGTATATTGTACAGTGTATATAAAAAAAAGTAAATGCAAGGAATAATCAGGTGCTTATTAAGACGTTTCCTTAGAGAAGTTATATATCAATCACTTTGCAAAATTGAATTGAATTTTTTAAAAGTATAATTGAAGTATAACTAAATCCGAAACGCTTTGCAATATTAGAGCAATTATCCTTGTATTCTTTGCCTATTCAGAAGTAGGGGAAAAATATGTGTGATGAGGCGTTTGTTAACTACTAAATTCCATTGAAATAAGGAATGCATTCACGAAAATATGAAAATACATAACATTCCCGGTCATATATATTTGATTGAAATTTCTACAGGCAATCTTCATTTCACCTATCTCATCACAAATACACCCATTGAGATAATACAGAATTTGAGACAATGTAGAGAATCACGACTATTTGCAGTGTTCAATGGTGCACAAGTGACAAAAGTGACAACATGGGTGACGACAAAGTGAGTTTAGTTGGAAAAGACCTGAAGAACACCTGAGTAGAAGAGGTTGCAAAACAAGTGTATGTGCTCATGTTGTTGGATATCACTGTAACACTAACATCTGTATATCTGGAACCACTACAATATGGACTTTCCGTTTACGATATTCTACACACAAGAAACGAACAAAACAAAAAGGTCTAGTAGCCAGGAAAAAAAAACACAAAATCATTGACAAAAATCATACTCTCCATCTACAAAGACCTACACAAAGCCAAATACATAGCTCACCAAAACATACAGTACTTTTATAAAGAGAAAGTCCATACATTACGCAATTCCAAACCTCTAAACTACTGTAAACATCATTAGTATAGAGATATTTATTTCCATGTGTGTAGTGAAATTTATGTGGTATGGGTGTGTGATGATGTAAGGTAGTATAAGGTTTGTATGTGTGTGTGTAATTACCTAAGTGATCACAATTCATGCTTTATCTGTGCATTACTCTTCCATGTGAAATTACCCAAGTGTAGTTACAGAATGAGAGCTATGCTCATGGTGTCTCTTCTTCCCAGTACAGTACTCTGTCATTTAATGCTTTACAACTATTGACGGTTTTTGCCTCCACAACTTTCTCACGTAACTTGTTCCAACCATCCACCACACTGTTTGCAAAAGAATACTTTCCAATATTTTTTTTGCATCTTTGTTTCCTTAGCTTGAATCTACAGCCTCTTGTTCTTGAGGTTGCCAATTTCAGCAATTCCTCTTTGTCAATTTGGTCAATTCCCTTTATTATTTTGAAAATGGTCATCATATCACCTCTTTTTCCTTCTATCTTCTAGCTGTGGCATATTTAATGCCTTTAGTCTCTCTTCATAACTTGTTTTTCAGGTCTGCAAGTCATTTTGTAGCATGCCTTTGAACCTTTTCCAATTTACTGATGTGCTCCTTGAAATATGGGCACCATACAACTGCTGCATATTCCAGTTTTGGTCTCACAAAAGTCATGAATATTTTCTTTAGAATTTTAACATCCATTTACTTAAAAGCAATTCTGAAGTTGGAAAGTGCAGCATATGCTCCTCACACAATGTCCTTTATGTGTTCCTCTCGTGACACTATTATCCATAACCACCCTTAGATTTCTCTTTGTTAGAGTTATTAATTCCTTAGCACATAATAAGTTGTGTGTTGTCTATTTTTACTTATTCCAGATTCCATAACATGGCATTTATTAACATTGAATTCCATATGCCACATGGTGCTCCAAGCACTTGTTTTATCTAGGTTAATTTGAATGTCATGATAATCGTCTATGTCTCCTAGCTTATCATCATCAGCAAACATGTTCATATAATTCTGTATTCCTTCTGGTAGATAACTTATGTAGACGATAAACATTATGGGCATAAGAACTGAACCCTGTGGTACTCCATTAGTAGCACTCCTCCAGGCAGATACAGTATATCACCTCTGATTACCACTCCTCATCTTTGTTAGTTAAAAAATTTGTCATCCATGTCAGCAGTCTCTCTGTCGATCCTCCAACATATCCAAGTTTTGAAAACAACCATTTGTGTGGGACTCTGTTAAAAGCCTTTTTAAGGTCCAGATATACACAGTCAATGTAACCATATCTTTCCTGTAGAATCTCTGTTGCTCTATCATAAAAACTAGGTAGATTTGCTAGTATTTACCTACTTTAAATTTTCTGTTAGATTAAGGACCTGCCCGAAATGTTGTGCGTACTAGTGGCTTTACAAGATTGTAATCACTATGCGATGTATCCTCATAATCCTAATGTACCTTCTTGTATATAAATAAATAAATAAATAAATTTGTTACACAGGATCTTCCTGTTCAAAAACCAAACTGTGTCTGTTATTATGTCATTCCTCTCCATGTGTTCTACCCATTTAGTTTTAACAATTTTTCCAGTGTTTTGACTATTACGCTTGTTAATGATACGGGTCTATAATTTAGAGGGGTCTTCTCTTCCACCATTTTTGTAGAGTGGAACTATGTTGCCCTTTTTCTATATATCTGCTAGGATTCCAGTGCACAAGGATATATGAAATATCAATTGGAGTAGCATGCTTGGCTCAGTCGCACATTCTCTCAGCACCCAAGGTGAAACAGCTTTATTTCTTCCTAGCCCCTTGAGTAAATTTTCCACTTCATTTTGAGACACCTATATGTACTCTATGGTATATAGAGGTGTCTCAAGATACACTGCCTGGAATTGGCATTGTATCTGGCTCTGTAAAAACCTTATTTTGCACAAACACACTTTGGAACTGTTCATTTAGTGTTTCACATTTCTTTTTCCTTCTCAGTGTACCTATTCCCCATTCTCAATCTCTGGATTTTATCCTTTACATGCAGCTGCTTTTAATGAATTTATAGAAAAGGCCTGGATCTGTTATATATTTGTCCGTTACCTCTTGCTCATCTATTTTACATTTGTCAATTACCCCTTGCTCATCTGTTATACATTTATCCGCTACCCCTTGCTCAAAGTCCCTTTCTGCCTCTCTCCTCACTGCTGTGCAAGGGGCAAGTCTTACCTTTTACATATTTTTCTGTTCTCTGAAAATCACAGACATTTTCTTTTATTGACAGGCTCTAAAGCTACTATTTTCTCAGTGATAATTTCCTCCTCTGATGCTCAATCCACCCTAGATGGTACATATCTCATTTTACAAACATCCAAAAATTATTATAGACTTACTTCTATGTATGGTGTTCTGTACTAATTACTGCTAATAACCAGCTCTCTTTGACTTGCCTGTCTGATGTCAGATCCTGATGTCTCTCTTTCTGTTCTTGACTTCCAAACATACTTCCTTGATAGTTTCTCTCTCTCTCTCTATTACAACTTGCACATATTAACCTGATTTTACCTGACAGCCACTAATACTAGTGGTCTCTAAGAGGACAGGAAGCCAGCAGCTTGTCAAAGGTCTCCCCATTTGCCCTGATGATCTTTTCTAGTTGTATTTTAAAACCCAACAGAGTTTTAACATTTATGGCTTCGGCGGGTAGGCAGTTCCATGCGTTTATAACCCTATGGATGAAAAAAGCATCTCCTGTTTCTTTCATATGTTTCTGAAATAAACACATGTTTCTTTCATTTCCTCTTTGCACTTTCTTAAACCTCTAGCAACTTCTTCTATTTGAATTGCTTGTGGGTTTTCTTTTATAAATTCCTTGCCTAACTATCTTTTGGCTGGTCTGTACAGTTTCTCTTAGTTCTTGTCCTTATCTATATCTTTTTGTTTATTTCTTAAAATTCATTTGCCTTCAATTTCCATGTTTCATATTCTTTACTTCCTTGATTGGTCCTTCCTGTTTCCATACCTTGTCAGTCAAGCTGACAATTTCCTTATCCTGCTGCAACAAACTGTCTGATAAAGTATTTACCTGGCTCTTCAGACCTTAATTTTCTTGTTCTAAATTAAGAAATTTTCCTTAATAAGCCTCTAGCAACTTGACACTCCTCACTAACCTACCTATCAAACCACCTTCCTGTATTTGTTCCTGAGTAAAACCTTTGAAATCGTCCTCATTTACTCTCTCCACTGAGGAGTCTGTCCTACCAGCCATCTTTGTGTTGACTTCATCTGCTCTGGTTCAGAATCCCTGGGCCAAAATTTTTCAAAAATTTGTACATTTTTCACAACAGTTCACAACTCTCAAAATTGTATCAATGATCTCAGGATATTTATTGAATCGCAAAAACCACTTTAATAGCTCTCTCCAGTCATATCACTGAATTACAGGAGAATTGCAGATACAAACAAGAAAAAGATCAACCTTTAAGGATCACCCTAACTGGTGCTAAACAGATGGAAGTAGTACTAAGGATTGTTAGGAAATTACAAAATGATGAAGAGAAATTATGATCATTAAGATAAGATCTTTCAAAGGAAGACAGAAGCTGAAGCTCTCTCCTCACTGCTATATTTACCCAAGGGCCACAAATACTAGTAGCCTCGACGAGGACCAGAAGCCGGTGGCTTGTCGAAGGTCCTCCCCACTTGCCTTGATGATCTTTTCTAGGTATATTTTAAACTAAACACATTTTTGACAGCTACAGCCTCGACGGGAATGCGGTTCTATGGGTTAATAACCCTGTGGGTGAAAAAGCATCTGTTCTCAGTCCTACATTGTGGCTTGTTGAGCTTGAAACCATTGCTCCTTGTTTGTGTTACATCTGACCTTCTGAAGAAAATATCCAGATCAACATCCTCTAACTTGTTCAGTACAGTATTTTAAAAGTTTCAAATGAGATGCACCCTGTCATGCCTGGTTTGCAGTGTTGATAGCCCTGTGGCCCTCAACCGTTCCTGATACGGGAGATGACTAAGCTCTGGAATGACTTTTGTTGCCCGGTGTTGCACCTTTTTCAGAGCAGTTATGTCCGTTTGGAAATGAAGTCTCCATGCTTGGATACAGTAATCAAAATGGGGCACACCTGAGATTTATACAGTTGGACCATTACCTTCTTTTCCTTATACTGTAGTCAAAAGTACGCTTGATTATCCCAAGTGTTTGGTTAGCTTTTCTGATTGCTGCACTCACCTGTTGTGCAACTTTTAATGAGTGGCAGATTTTGACATCAAGGTTCTTTACTTCATCAATCTATTGTAATGCAATGCCATTAATTTGGTAATCATGGCATGGGTTGTTGTGTCCCACATGATAGGTCTTGTATTTGTCAATATTAAAAGGCATTTACCAGTCTTCTGACCATTTGTGGAGTTCATGTAGATCCTTTTGTAAGGCTTCAACATCATTATCATTTCTCACTTTACCATAAACCTTTGTCATTTGCAAATTTGATGATGTGGCTAGTAATATTCTCATCTATGTCATTGATGTATATGACAAAAAAGGTAGGTCCCAAAATGGACTCCTGTGGCATCCCACTAGCACATTTCTCCATTCAGATTCATTTTCATTTAACACCCCCTTTTATTTTATTTCCATCAACCACTGTTTTATCCTTTCTAATATTTTACCATTTATTCCATGGGTCTGTAATTTCCTTGCCAGTCTTTCATGTGATACCTTATCAAAAGCTTTAGCAAAATCCATGTATATTACATCCACAGGAAGGCCCTTGTCTGAGTAGCTGGTTACCATCTCCAAAAATGTGAGCAAGTTAGTAAGGTAGGATCTGCTTTTAACAAATCCAGGTTGTGTCAACTGTATAAGGTTCACTAAAAGATGGTGAATGATTTCTTTCCTGAGGATTCTCTCCGTGAGCTTGCAGATGTGTGATGTGAAGTTGATCGGTCGGTAGTTTTCTGCTGAGCTTTTTCTGTCTTTTTTTTTTTAAATAGGGGGATAACATTTGCATATTTCCAGTCTAGGGGCACTACCCCTTGGTCCAGAGATTTTGTAAAAAGTAGTTTTAACGGTAGGCATAGTTCTTCTGTCAGTCCGTTTAAGACTTTGGATTGGATTCCATCCACACCTGGGGCTTTTGAGTCGTTTAGTTTGTCAATGTTCTTTCTAATTATTTTGCATGTTATAGGTATATCCTTAAATTCATTCTCCACCCCTCCTTCAAGCATTTGTGTGGGTGATGTGATGTCATCCAGCCTTTCAAGTCTTATGTACTACTTTCACTTCTTCTGTTAACCTTTCTGACCCAGATGTTACATCTGGGTCAGAAAGGTTAACTTTAACCTTTTCTTTACAACCCAAAATTAATAGGGACTTACTTCAATTGACTGCGTTTTGCACCATATTTCGGGTTTGATGCCAGTTTCTTTCTGACTTCCAGTCTAATGTTTGTGCTTTTCTGATTGCTCTAGTTTCTGGCTTCCTTTACCACTTTTTCTATTATTTTAATTATAAATTAATGATTAAATTATTGAATTATTTCCTTCTCCCTGACCACTTGTGCAGGGTATGATGCATATCCTTCTTGCACTGGTCTATTTCTTGTGTAACTTCCTCCATCTGAATTGACAAGAGATGTTTTTCCTGTTGATTTCCTTACCTAACCCATTGTATTCATTAATGTACAAAATACATTAATGTATTTGCCTTGACTTCTTCAAACTCTATTTTCAAGACTTTATTTTCCTCCTCCATGTCTTTGTGTTTGTTACCATACATGTAGCGAGAAGAATGGCGGTAAATGTGACTGTTTAAAAGGTGTTACAATTTTAGTAAAGGTGTTGAGTGCATACAAGGTTTAGTTCTTGTGCGTTGTGTGCAAAGGTGTGTGTACATGAGGGTATACACTCCATGCTGTGGTGAGCTTGTGGTCATGTCAACAACAGAAGTCATGGAAGGGTCACAAGGACCCCCAAGCTAAAGTTACAGACAGCGGCATTAGACGAGAAGCATTCAGAAGCAGGTGTATGGTACGAAGAAAATAACAATAAATACCCGTCTCTCCTGTTGAAGTGCGACAAAACATATAAACATAATATTTAGTACAATATTTCAACTTTATCTACCATCAACTACAACATCAAAAACTTCTGAACTACAAAAAAGAGTATTCTATAGACATCCTATGAAATTCTTTTACATTAAAAGCTGGCCTTAAAACATCATGACTACGGATGTCTCTAATTTACTTTTCCCATACATTAATTTGAACATAGACAAACACACCAGATTCTTTACCTTAAGCTCTGTTTTAGAATCCAAATGAACATCTTCAAAACAAAGAGTAACTGAGGAAGCAAAAATCAAGATAAGGACGATCCACTCAAAGTAAGGGCTGTCGACAACGTAAAGGCACATTTGTCGCAAGTGGTACCACTTCCTGTAGATTTTGGTCTCCACACAACTTGCACAACACTGCAACCTGAAATAGGATTATTAGTTTTGAGGACCCAATCGAAGCTATAAGAAAGATAAGAAGGAAGACATGACTTCATAATTTCCTACCTAGTGCTTTAAACTCGCACTCTATCTTGGGCTACCCAATCCCCCAATACATACGTATCAAGCCATACAACTTTACCATTGTGATCATTGCTGTCATCTTTATATGTGCTATCAATATGCTTTATTGTGTCCTATTAATCTTTGTCAAATTATCAATCAAGCTGTCAATGCTATCAATCAAAGCTATCAATGTGCTTTAATATACCTACTAATCTCTCTCAAATTTTCTTACAATGTTAATTTAACATTTTGTAAATTTTGCTAGAATTTACCTACTTAATATTATCTGTCAGATTAAGGACCTGCCTGAAACGCTGTGCATACTAATGGCTTTACAAGAATGTAAACACATCATGCTATGTACTTACATAAACCCAATGTACCTTCTTGTATAAATAAATAAATAAATAAATAAATAAATATTTATATGTGAAATTTTTTAAGTGACAAGAAAAACTGGAGGCAGAGATACAAGACAACAGATAGTCCTTATATAAAGGAAAAAGAAGGAATGTGATCAGATGAAGTACAGCAAAGTCGCTCTGAATTCAACATCTCATACAAAATTAATGTAAAAAAAAACATTTTTTTTTTACTAATATACAACCTTGAAATAGTCATGCCATTCAGTAGAACACACTATGAATGGCTTAATAAATCATACTTTTGGTGCAAATTATAAACTCGCATATAATTTTTGAAAATATATCAGCAAAATTAAAGACTACTTTGAACCTCAACTGCATAAATTCTTGTTGTTAATTATAGCTTAGACACACAAATTCGTCTTTCAAGAGCTGTTTACCCTTTCATGGCCATAAAGAAATGACATCATTTGGCTCTTGGCAAGAGGGCACTTTTTGTTTGTAGCCAGTTGGGAGGGGACAGCTAAGCTCTCTGGTTTAAAGCCTTATAGTCCAGTCCATTTTGGCTTCATTGTTCTGGACCATGGCAGTCCCCTCTCCAGCAGTATTTATTGTCTTGATGTCATCATATCTTCAGCCACATTATTGTGACTCATTGTATGCATATTATCTTGGAACTACTGTATCATGATGGGCTGTCTATGGGTCCTTCTGGCCCAGAACGTGTGTTCTGGTTGGTTACAGATGCTGATCTTTCAGTGCCTTGAGTCCTTCAAATTTGAGAATGAATAGGGATACAAGGTTCATGCTGGGCTGATACCAAAAGTTTTGCTGCTGGCTCCCTGGCTCTTCAAGTTTGGTTCTCTGGATTCACCTTTTTGCTCCTAGTACCTCTCTGTGCTTCTATGCTGCATTTTCTTAACCAATAGTCACTGCAGGGAGGTGTGGTAACAAGCTGAACAGCTTGTGACCACAGCATCGCCTAAAAATGCCATAATATACATTTGCATGCTATTATTTAGCGATGATATTATTACAGAAGACCCCTGACTGTGATAAAAATGACCAGGATTCTGATAATAGGAGGATTGTTGTGATAATTTGTGCTGTAGTGGGAGGAGTAATCTTGGTGGGGAGGAAGGTAGCATTGTCTGCTGACTCTGTGTGACCATCTTTTTACTGTCTGGACTCAATATACCAGCTTAGTTGTTCGCTATGGTAAACAAAACATGCAGAAACTTATATATAACGTCTGTATATAAAAGCAAAAGCAGTATGGTGGGAGGAGAATGGTGGCGAGTCAGGTGAGGTGAGGGAGGGTGGGAATGGCAGCCAGTGGTGGGCTGCCACTGGCTCCACTGCCACTGCCACTCAGCATGCCAACTTAGTGGTTCGTTATGGTGAACATGAATGTAGATACTTATATATAACGTCTGTATATAGGGAATAAAACCAAAAACAGTACGGTGAGAGGTGAATGTGGGTGAGTGAGGTGTTGAGGGAGTGAGTGGCAGCGAGTGACTGGCTGGTGTGTGGCGGTCACTCCTCGTTTCTTTTTGACTCATAATAGCAACTTAGTGGTTCGTTATGGTGAACAAAACATGCAGATACTTATATATACCCTGTGTTTATAGTGTAATAACCGACAAAGTATTTGTTCACTGCTTGATGAACATTATAATTGAATCAACAATATGCACACCATATTTTTGAGTACAGCGATGATTCACTCATTTTATTATATAAATAATCACACTACACACTATTGAATAATATTACAGCAAAAAACTATGAAAAATCAATCAGAGACATTGAAATAATTAGGTGATTATCTCTTTGTGGCCACTCCTACCTGACAGCTGGTGAGCAACAGACCGTCTGGGACACACACCGAGTCAGTTTTTTTGTTTAACCAAACAAAACGCGCTTTTGTTTAGCGCCTTGTTTTTTGTTGTTGTTTGTTTTTTTGTTAAACAACACCTGTTTAACCACACAAGGGTTAAGCTCACAAACACAGATACATTCACTTTAAAAAGAGTACTGTAGATAGAGTTATGAGGTGTGTAATTCATGACATCAAAAATATATCTGATGGAATCCATTACTTATGAACAACATTAACTGAAGAACTCACTTCAAGACATAAACAAGAATGGAATTCACTTCTAGAACTGTAATGTCACAAATCTCTCAAAATCTTACTTGTTGTAGACTTGCTTGGGAAAACAGTCTGCAGGTTCCTTGGCTATTATCTCAGTCCGTTTGAATCTTGGGTCCTCGTCATCTTTAACGCCACCTGTGATGGTGTCCACATAACTGACAACAGCACTCCAGCTCTGTGTTTTGTTCAGCACATTTGGCATGTCCTTCTTCACTGTCTATGGAAAAACAATACTCATAAGGCACTTGTAAAATGAGAAAGAATGATACTACATGTGCCTTAATAATCGTAACTCTTCCTTATAGCATACATTAGTTATAAGAACAATTAATACAAATTGAAGCAAAACACCACTTGCATCCTTTAAAATTGGTTTTTGCCCAGCAAATTGTGATTGCACAACACAATTGTAGTTACCATCGTATAACTATTGTCCTTACAATGGTAATAAAGAACTCATGCATCATAATAATGGTTAAAGTGTATGCCCCTTGCATCATCACCATGCACTTCTCAAATCTATGAAAAGGCCAAAAGCTGGAACTCAAAACCTAGGATGCAAATAAGCATATATATATATTTTTTTTTTTTTTTTTTTTTTTTTTTTTTTTTTTTTTTTTTTTTTTTTTTTTTTTTTTTTTGAGATATATAGAAGAGTTGTTACATGGTTGTAGAGCCACTAGTACGCGTAGCGTTTCGGGCAAGTCCTTAATCCTATGGTCCCTGGAATACGATCCCCTGCCGCGAAGAATCGTTGTTACAACCAAGTACACATTTTACTGTTGCGTTAAACAGAGGCTACAGTTAAGGATTTGCGCCCAGTAAATCCTCCCCGGCCAGGATACGAACCCATGACATAGCGCTCGCGGAACGCCAGGCGAGTGTCTTACCACTACACCACGGAGATTTCTATAATGCACATTAACAAATTTTACCATTTTATCTGATTTCAACACTGTATGTGAAGAAAAGCGGCTACAGACAATACAAAAAAATTCTGGCAATGAACTGAGCAAATATATCTGATCAAATTTTAACATCTGTTTCTTTCAAGTTGCGACTTGAAATAAAACCTTTTCTAGTAGCAATATGAGCAAGGAGTAATAAAACTTTAAGTTTTAAAAGATGACTAAATTAAACCAAAATCTTGAATGAACATCACCACCAATGCCTGAAAGAATCTTTCAGTGTTATGATTTGTAAGAAGATTCAATTTAATGTGATGTCAAAAAATCAATAACATTCTAAGTTAAACTGCTTATCATTTACATTATGACCCTATGACCCATTTGTTATGACCCGGAACTTCAAGAACAAGAGGTCGTAGATTTAAACTAACAAAACAAAGCTGCAGGAGATATATAAGGAAATTCACTTTTGTAAACAGAGTGGTAGACGGTTGGAACAAGTTAGATGAGAAGGTGGTGGAGGCCAAAATCGTCAGTAATTTCAAAACGTTATATAACAAAGAGTGCTGGGAAGACGGGACACCACGAGTGTAGCTCTCATCCTGTAACTACACTTAGGTAATTACTATATCTCTATCTTCTCTTAAATAACAAAACACCACACACATATCACATGAAATGAAAGTAACTTTCTTTTCACTTCACGTATGAGTTGTGTTATTTATTGATAAGTTACTGTCACTACCTGCTAAAAAAAAAGCTTTGACTGTAATGAAATGCCATTTCCTGGGTGAGTCCCGGAGGTTCTCCGGAGCTATCCAGGTTGATATGAATGTATTAGACCCTGGCATCAGTCAAAGTGAATGGAGTTCTAGGCCTACTGGGGCCCACGAGCCAGAACCTGGCCCTCTCAGAGAGGCACGAGGAGTAATGGCTTAAAGAAACCCCCGTGTGGTTGGAAGCATTTTATGTCTGCCATCAACCGGGTCAGGCACCAAGAAAGGTAGGCGCTCCAAAACAATCTCTATTTGGCTAAAATATTGCAACTTAAGGCCTAACTGTTGGACAAAACTCCCCAAATGAAAACAAGCAAATGAGCCTGACGTCACAACCGTAACTGAGCCGTCTGCACCGCCCCGGGAGGGGAAAGGGGAAGCTCCCAAGCCCCCGCACTATCTATCCATACCCCCTAGTTCTGAAGCTGGATGTCAAAACAAGCAAAAAAAATGCCGATCGGAGGGAGGGAAGATTGCCGAGGAGTCTCCGGATCTCACCCAGAAAATGGCATTTCATTACATTCAACACTGGTTTTCTAGGGGAAACACCCCCCCCCCCCTTTGGCTCCCCAGAGCTACTTAACCAAGGATAAAACAAGAAGGACTTACTCAGGAGGCAGTTGCCACTCGCTACTCAACTTGAAGTAGAGACAACTGGCTGCAACAGCTGACCCAATGCGACACATGCCCGACTAGGGCCAGGAACATTGACAAGATAGTGAGCGGCCAGGACCCTGTTCAACGTCCAAAATCCCTGTGCCCGAATGTCAGCCCAAGACATGTTACCGAAGATGGCAGCCAAAGCAGCAAACTGATGAACGTCATGAGCACGCAGATAGGCCACAGGCTGGCTGGACCGAATTACCCTGCGGACGACCTCGGAGACCCAAACAACTGGAACAGGGAAGGAGGGGAAACCGGGCCAACCCAAAGCATGTCTCCCGCCACCAAAGCCGTGGCATGCAGGTAATAGTGAAGAGCCGCAATTGGACACAACACATGATGTACCCAAGCCTAACCAACCAAGCATCAACAACCCAAGGACCCCCTCTGGAAAGCAGCAGTTTCATTCTTCACTAGAAAAGAAGGAGACACTACAAATGAACAAACCTACCACCAGGACAAAAAAAGAGCAGAAACCTCTGCACCGGAAGAGAGCATGAAGCTCCCCAACCCAACCCCCAGTGGCCAATGCAAACAGGAAAAGAGCCTTCACAAAATAATCTTGAACGGAAAGGGCCACGACAAACCGAGGAGAAGAGAGAAAAGAGATCACCCGGTCCAATGACCAAGACGGCTCTGGCAGCGCATGAGCACACCGGAAGTGAAACAATGCACGAGACAGCTTACGCAATGGGGCCGAAGTAACATCCACCCCGAACACAAGCTGAAGCGGCTCTGCCAGTGCCACATGATACATGGCGACAATATTCGGCATAAGATGATGGTCCTGAAACAACCAAGAAAGGAAGGACAAGACAATCCGATCCAAAACAGAAGAAAACCTACGAAGGGACAAGAAATACAGAAAGGATCACCAGGAAACTTCATACTGCCGCCGAGGCAAGCCACGCAGGTGGGACGTTATCAATGAAGCCACCTGCTCACTATACAAATAGTAATAGACCCATGTCAGAAAGACCAGACGTGAAGACTTCAGGAGAAAATCAAACCAGCTATGTAACGGACTGGATCGATCTGATGAAAAAGACTGAGCCGCTGGAAACCCCCGGGTTTGGACGCCGAGCAAGCAGCACCTGAAACCAAGACTGGGCCTGCCACCAAGGGGCAAAGCGGACTACTCTCTTTTGGCAAGTTTCAAGTGAGCTAGAATCTGGAGCAACAGCTGAACAGGGGAAAAAAAAGAGGTACAGGTAATCCAACCTCGACCAGTCTTGCATGAAGGCATCGACCCCCGACGGCCTCGCAGTCAGGGAAGGGTGCCACATATACCGGGGGAGACCTTGACCATGCCACCGCAAAGAGGTCCACCTCCGGGACCCCGTATGTCTGGCAGAGCCAGCTGAACAAGTCGGCATCGACTTTCCATTCCATGGACAGGGCAATGAACCAAGACAGGCCGTCCGCCAGAACGTTTGACACCTCCCTGAACGTGAATGGCCAGGAGAGCCAAACCCCGAGAATTCAGCAGATGAGTCACCTGAAACAACGAGCCCCAAAGAGCTAAGGACTGCATCGAACCCCCACGGGTCAGACATTGAACCACCGGGGAGCATTCCGAATGGAGCCAGATCATCGAACCCTGAGTAACCAGAACCCTACGCAGCGCCAGCCATACCGCTGCAAACTCCCACACTGTGCTGTGAGCCGGACAGAAGGACGGACTACCAGCCCCTGGCCGGCCTGGTGAGCACTGGTCGCAAAGCCCCAGCCAATAGACGACGCTTCCGTGAACAAGTTGAGTGAGGAACTCGGGTAGGCGCCAAGGCACTGAACTCCGAAAAACCCAAAGAGGAAGCCGGCGACGCAGCAGCCAACGTAAGGCATCTGGAGGCCGAACCCAGCAATCACAAGAAAAGTGAAAGGGATGTCCCCGAAGGAACCAGAACAGCCAGCGAAGCCACACCTGACCCGGCGGGTAGACAATCACAGCAAAGTTCAAACTCCTGCACAAACCCTCGAGCAACTATCTCGTGACCCTGGAGCCACTCAGAAACAGGTGAAGATGAGACTGCAGCAGAGCCGCTGGAGGGAGAGACAAGGAAGCAGTCCAAGAGTCCCACACTAAACCCAGCCAAGACCAAACCTGAGAGACCCCCCAAATGGGACTTCCTCCAGTTCACCAGGAACCCAAACCCGGCGAGCTGAGAAAGAACCAATTCCCTGGCAAGCAGATACACGGACTGGCTGGGAGCCCATACCAACCAGTCGTCAAGGTAGGCTAGATTCGAACCCCTAACAGATGCAAACGGGCCACCTCGACCCAGGTAAGGCGTGTGAAAACATGAGGTGCCAGATTCAAGATGAATAGAAGGCAATGAAAATAGTAACCCTGACGCCCCACAACAAAACCTAGCCAGTCGCTGAACCTCGGATGATTCAAGATATGCCAGTACGCATCCTGGAGGTCCAAGGACACCATCCAAGCATCCAACTCCATAAGAAGATGGATCTGGGACAGAGTAGTCATCCGATAGGAGGGGCAATACAGTAGACCAAGGGGTTCAGATGGGACAAGTCCAGAATGAACCACAGGTCCACATAGTCCCGTTTCAGAACCGGAAACAGGCAGGAAACCCACCTGAGGGATGAGGTCGTTGCGACCACGCCCAAGCGTTCCCACTTCAAGATGACTTGACAGATCGCAGGAGAAGAAGCCTGCCTACCAGCCCCGAACCCCCCCGAAGGAGAAGGGGCCACCCAACGCCACAGCAGGCCACAAGAAACGACCTGAAGCATCCACGAATCGTGGAACCAGGCAAGAGCAAACTGTGTGAGCTTCCCCCATCACCCTTTCAATGGGACAAACTGTGAAAGGGCCGACGCCTCATACGAGAAGCCGACTGAGGAGCAGAGCAATCACCACGCCGACCAGTTATCATCGGTTCTGAAGGCTGCACCAGCTCCAAAACTAGCACCACTGGCCTACCACGATGGGAGGAACCCTGAGCCCTGGCACAACCCTTCCAGAGGGTTGTGCCTTCCTCACGCAGTAGAACCAACAAATCCGACATAGGACGACAACTCGAAGAGGCTGCTTTCAGATACTACACCACCGCAGACTCTGCAAACTGAAAAGGACAAAAAGATGTAGAAGAGTCAGGGTTCAGTTCCATGAACTGAGTGAGCACATGACACTTGTGACATCAGGCTCATTTGCTCGTTTTTTGTCAGGGGTGTTCTGTCCAGCAGTTCAGCTTTCTGTAGCAATATTTTAACCAGATAGAGTTTGTTTTGGGGCGTTTACCTTTCTGGGTGCCTGACCCGGTTGACGGCAGACATAGAATGCTTCCAACTACATTGGGGTTTCTATAGACCATTGCTCCTTGTGCCTCTCTGAGGGGGCCAGGTTTTGGCTCGTGGTCCCCGGTAGGCAAGAACTCCTAGCACTTTGACTGATGCCAGAAAGTAATACATATCCATTCAGCCTGGATAGCTCCGGGGAGCCGACGGGACTCCCCCAGAAAAGGTTTTTGACCGAGACCCACACAAGCAGTTGTTTTGAAAACTAGAACATAATGGAGGGGGTGCAACCCGTTCTCGCAAATTTAATAAGTCAATATTGACTTATTAGTTGCGTGCATAGGTGACATACTAAACATAATAGTTTCCCTTGAAAAGCTTCATAGAAAACACCGACCTTACCTAACCTACTTAGTATGTTAAAATAAGCATCTTATAGCTTCGTAATTACAATTGTTACTTAACCTATTATAGGTATAGGTTAGGTAATAATTGTAATTACGAAGCAATAAGATACTTATCTTAACATACTAAGTAGGTTAGGTAAGGTCGGTGTTTTCTATGAAGCTTTTCAAGGGAAACTATTATGTTAAGTATGTCAACTATGCACATATTTAATAAGTCAATATTGACTTATTAAATTTGCAAGAACGGGTTGGGGGGTGACAGGGAGGCTTCTGACATGAATGAAAAAGTTTTTAACTGATGGAAAGATGACAGTGGTAATTAGAGGCAATGCATCTGACTGCAGGAGTGTTAATAGCAGAGTGCCACAGGGTTCAGTTCTTGCACCAATAATGTTCATCTACATAAATGAACTACCAAAAGGAATACAGAATTGTATGAGCATGTTTTCTGAGGATGCTAAGCTACTAGGGAAGATAGACCTAGATGATTGTCATGCCCTTCAAATTGATCTACATAAAGTGCTTGGAGTGCCATGTCATAAATGAATTTAAATGTAAATAAATGCCATGTTATGGAATGTGGAATCAGAGAAAATAGCCACACACAACTTACAAATTATGTGGAAAGGAATTAAAGAACTCTAACAAAGAAAGAGATCTATGGGTGGTTCTGGATAGTAGACGGTCACTGGAGGAACACAAAGAAAATTGTGAGAGGACCATATGCATTGTTTTCCAACTTCAGAATCGCTTTTAATTAAAGGGATGGTGAAACAATAAAGAAATTGTGCAAGAAAATATGCAGCAGTTGTATGGTGCCCATATCTCAAAGCACATCACTAAACTGGAAAAGATGCAAAAGGCATGCTACATAATGACTTCCGGAACTGAAAAAAAAGTTACAAAGAAATGCTAGAGGCGTTAAATATGCCAAAGCTAAAAGATAGAAGAAAGAGGTGATATGATCACCATTTACAAAATAATAATAAGATTCAATCAAAATGAAAAAAAATAATAATTCCTAAAACCAGGAATCTTCCTGAATCTTTAGCAAATCTACCATTTTTCTAATCTTACAAGAATGCTACCTCCGTTTATTCTTCCTAGGAAAATCCCAAGAAATTTTCCTCCCATATCGTCGTTGGTCTTGTTTTCAAGTACTGTACAGTATCTCTCCAACTCATTTGGTCAGTCAGCTTCCAAGTGTACTCCCTAGACCTAGCCCACTATCAAATAGTGTCTTTATCAACCTTGTTGATTCTTCTTTGTATTTTGTGGTGTGACCGTATTCCTTCTCTCTGTTCTAGTTTCCCTTTTGTTAGTTATATGTACTATGGGTTATCGAGGTCCCTCTTAGCCAACTACTGATCATACACAGTATGCAACCCACAAAAATTTATTAACTCTCAGGTACTTATTTAATGCTAGGTAAACAGAGGCATCAGATGAAAGGAAGATGCCCAACAATCTCTGTCCTGTTTGGGAACTCAACCTGCAACCCTCAGTTCTGAATCGACGATGCAGATCACTGCTCTATAATTGCCATAATTGTAAGTAAATAATTATCAAAGGAAGGCGCCAAGCCGGGAAGAGTATGTAGTGCCATCAAAGTTGCAGGATGTTCAAAGGGCGCTAAATATCACTACGAGATACATTTCAATACGAGAGCAAAAATGCATAAGGCGAGTGATATCAAATGTATCCGATTCACCAAAGATTATACCGAGGGACAAGTGACCGCGAGGGACAGTTGGGAAGTAAGACACACGCACATCCTGGAAGTCAGGACATTAAAAGAGGATATGCACCACAGTAAGAGGAACAATGCAATTCAGACAATAAGGAGCAGGATGGCGCTTCATTAAATGCCCGTGAGTTAAATGTGTATGGCCAATACGTAACCTCGCCAGAGTCATTTTCCCAATGCCAGTTACAGTGGTAGGAGGAAGACCATGGGCACAGGCTACCATTAAGAGCACGCAGTTTGTTATCAGTAACAGAAGTTCAATGACCCTGTCAATGGGCACAGATTGCGGAATGAATGACTGGGTAGAAGTCAGAATAAGAAACTCCTCTGCGGGAAATAGGACAAGTACGGATAGCCTCCTTAGCGGCAGCATCCACACGCTCATTTAAGGAAACATCAATATGAGTGGACACCCAGCAAAACTCGGCCATCTTATATCTACTGGAGATAAGAAACATCCAATGTTGAATTTCCACTACCACAGGATGGACTAGATTAAATGATCAATCATGAGGGCACTGCAACTCAACTACAACAACAAAGGAAGATTGACAGCGTGAAAGCAGCTAACGAACAGCATACAAAATTGCATAAAATTCTGTCGTGAAAATGCTAGTCTCCGGGGGAAAGGTAACACATACAGGTGTGGTCAAGAAATACATCGGAGTAGCCTGCACCGTCGGAAGACTTAGACCTTCTGTGAAAATGGCAACAGAGCAGGAGTGCGAAGAAAAGTGTGCAAGAAAAAGGTGTTTCAGAACTGCAGGAAGAGCAGAAGCCTCTACTATGTAGGTCAAGGTTTTGAAAAACTTTGGAAGTGGGTCCCGGGCATTTTTGAAGTTCCGAACTGGGGTCTCACCAATGCAGAACAACAAAGCCAAGTGGTCGGCAGCTACCCGAGAAGGAGCTGCAACGACACGTGTACCAGTACAGGTGGGGTTAAAAGTGACACTGGTTCCACCAAATCAACTAGATGTTTATGGATGAATAAATCATCAGGACATGTAGGATCAACATGACTGAGATCAAAATACTTAATCAATTTAGCAGGACCAAACAAATTCTGGAATGTAGTAGAGTGGGAAGGTATCATGCTCGTGCAAGTGCGGAGGTGATGGCGCAGAGCACCTCCAGTAAGAGGGAGGTAAAAGGTGCAGTTGTCACAATGAGAGACGGAGCCACTCAAGGTGATGAGGTGATCACCACTGGGGGCTAGGGGCTTAACCCTGTCACAAAGATGGGAGGAGAGCAGAGAGTCAGTCAAGAGAGTCAGAGAAGCAGCTTGGTCTGGGCCTAATGTGGCAGGGGCTACAGAGCCTGGTCTTCCATCAGAGTCTGACTAAGGGGCCTGGTCGCCCACCCCACAAGTCCGAGAAGGTGAATGAGGGTCAGAAATTGGCATATAAACGAATATGAATACCGTATACAGTAATTTCATCAACGAATAAGCCCCCATGCCCACCAAGGAGCCATAGTTAGAGGATAGATAAGACAACTGACAAGATATGCCCCCCCTCCCAGGGGTGCATCATGAATATATGATCGGGCTCAGCAACGAAGGCAAGGTTTGACAATGAAAGCTTTCCCTCACTCGGCAATGTCAGGCACCACAGTTCTATGGATGAGAGAGAGTGCCTTCCCAATCACCCAGCATCAAAACAGAATATATCGGAAAGAATAGTCAAGAATGGCACACAGTTGGCTGGAAGGAACAATGAGAAAAAAGAGGGGGGAGAAAGGAGGGAGGGAAGAAAAAATGAAGCATGGGGAAGAAGAAAAAGATACCAATAGAATTACTAAAGACAGCTGCAGGAACATAAGGCTTCAAAAAAAGCAGCTGTCCCATGGAGCATCACACTCCGGCAGCTGCCCACCAAGCCCCCCCCTCATGACAACAACAGACTGGAAAGGGAGGGGGCCATAATTGTAAGGTTATTTCAGCTTAGCATAATAACTTTATCACAAGAACAAGTTGGTAAATTTCAGGACCTCATTAATCATTCTGTGCTTGAATATGTAGTGTCACGTATCCGTGCATTTTGTGCGAATGTAATTGAAGTTCAAGATTCAAATTCACACCATAGTGCTTTCATATACTTCTGGTGTAGTTAGTTGCCTTTCCATACAGTAAATTATTTTTTGTGTTTTCCTGTTAACACCATCGAGAAATACATAATTTGCCGAAGTACCCATGACTTACTGGGGACATGATGTACACAGTCTCTCACCTGCCAGTGTTTCGCTTTGGGTCCCCCATTAGGCTCTCCATGAGTGTCTTTGGCTTGTGGATCGAAGCTCACCTCCTGAAAACCGTCAATATCCTTAGAGCTTGACCGGTGTAGGTCACTGAAGCTCATCTGGGGAGGTAATGCTATCTTTGAGGACATTTTATTTGTTGGTACACTGCAATTCAGGTGGATAACACTGTGATAAAAGGATACAGTGTATAATTTGCAAAGAAGGGCAGGGAGGAGATTTTTATACACTAATTATTTGATGAAGGTACAAGGGTACTACAATTTAAAAAACATTATTAATAAATTTAAAGCATGCAAAAATGGAATTATTCATATATAAATAATACATATAGCAGAACTGTTTAAAATGAAGCTATGATGCTTTGCTAATTAAATGTTTAAAAGTGAAGAAACGAGCCCAAAATTGATATGATATACTGCATTCATAAGTCTGGATGACAGTTTCCATATAGGTGGCATGCTATTAATGCAATCTAATTAAGATATATATATATATATATGATGGATGAAAAACTTTTGTATTAAAATACTTGATAAACTTTGTTCTTTAGTCTCTGTGTACAGCAGTTTACTTACCAATGGCAAAATAAAACTTGACTTTTCTATTTTACCTTAAGTAATTTTTCTTTTATTAATCTTATGAAGTAAACAGTATCTGGCTACTACTTATATATACAAAGTACTTACCTACAGTCCAGTGCAACAGCTGTCCTGCTGAACAGGTGTGCGTGAAGTCCAAACTGAGCCTCTACTCACCTCTTCTCTAAGGCTTACCTTGGAGTTATCCTACACCAAATAGGCATATTATCTCATACAAAAGCTTCTTAGCTTTGTACAGGAATGGATTTCTTGAGGTCTTATGTGAGGCTGAACTATGTATTATTTTGTTATGGTATTTAATTGTGGATCTTTTAAGAAAAATTTGGTGTGTCCCGGAACCAAGAAATTTATTGAAAAATGAACAATGTTAGTACTTTTAACTTTGAAGGTGCAATTTACATTATACAACACTCAGATACTTGTACTGGATAATTCCATTTAATGAAAGTCAGTGATTTGCTTCAGATGGTAATGGTTTTTAAGTTTCAAAGTCATTCATAAACAAGGTGTGTAACCTCTGAAGTGTGCTATAAAATGGAGCCACAGTTTTGTCCTGACACATCACATATAAAACCTGCCTCACTGCTGATACAAACATCTTGGCTGGAGGTCCAACTTTATAAGACTGTGTTGCTCTGCCAGCTTCACAGCTGAAGGCCTGCCACTGGCTTTCTCACCCACAAATTGTCAAATCACAATTACACAATTAAATAAATATGTTGATATGCATTCAAACCTATTCTACGAATGATACATGGGGGCTCTCTCCTCAAGTCAAAATCTGACCTTCAGTACAAAACTATCATTTTAAAGAATAAAAACCAGTCATACAGTAATTATTTTATTCCATTACTGGTCTGGCCCTCAATATTTCCCCACTGCATTATCACTGGTACCACAGTGACATATAATGCTACCAAGTCCCTGGATTTGTACAGGCCTACTGAACACTATGACCAGAGTTTGGTGTGCTGAGGGGCAAGGTGAGCACATGGACCTGTGATGGACCCAAGACCAAGCAAGTTTGTTTTTCTTTCCCTGTACTTAGAGTACAGGGAAAGAAAAACAAACTATGTATCTTGTTTAAAGAGAAAATAACCAAACAAGACCAGTGGTTGCTTATCAAAGGGAAATAATCACAAATCTCTTTATCCATTTTGGGCCTCACCGAATTCTCTGTTTTTTATATTGTGGTTCCCTGGTTCTTTCAGCAACAAGTGTATCTTCTGGTCTGTTGACAAGCAGCCCACAGTTTCATGTCTCCAGCTCTACAATGACCACTAACTTTATATAAGTTTCTCCTTGAGCATTGTTTCCATGAAAGAGCTTAATTTGCTTTAGAATTCACTTTACTGGTCTGGCAGGTGAAACAGTTCCTAAATAAACATAGGAGCTGACCATAACAGCATCCTAAGGGCCGTAACTCAGAAATAAAGCTTTATAAACTCAGAAATGAAGCTTTATAAACTCAGAAATGAAGCTTTATAAACTCAGAAATGAAGCTTTATAAACTCAGAAATAAAGCTTTATAAACTCAGAAATAAAGCTTTATAAACTCAGAAATAAAGCTTTATAAACTCAGAAATAAAGCTTTATAAACTCAGAAATGAAGCTTTATAAACTCAGAAATAAAGCTTTATAAACTCAGAAATAAAGCTTTATAAACTCAGAAATAAAGCTTTATAAACTCAGAAATAAAGCTTTATAAACTCAGAAATAAAGCTTTATAAACTCAGAAATGAAGCTGTATAGAGAAAGAAACTTAAAAATATTAAAAACAGCACTTATACATTCATTACATCAACTACACTATTAAGCATTATGAATAAACAACTCCACCACACTGCAACAGTCATACACAACGCTACCCTACAGCTCTTATATAATTAAGTGTGTAGTGCTCTTTGTAAGTTTTCACTTACTGTTCAAACAATTACTGGGCACTCATTCCCTCTTTACAAACCACAGTCACCCAACCTTTCATTTACCATATTCTGTTCACTACTCACCTCCATGAATTAAATATTTATTAGTTTTCAGGATTTAAAAAAAGAAAACTTCTTTAATTATTGCACCAAACTTCATTTAAACTTCCCTTATAGTTGTTAAAAAAGATGATACATGAACACTGGGCAGTGATACATGAACTAATGTTCATGTACCACTGCCAGGGTACACAGCAAAATAGAGAATGGTGTACTTACTTCACCTCTTGAAAACATCTCGAGCTCGTATTCTGACTGCCTTCATGCATTTATTCAGTGTCAAACATAATTATTTGAGCTCTTGTACAATTTTTACAAAAGCTTTACCTCATCTAACTTCATTTTGGGGATGTTGCCATCCGATAAGTTGACTTCTGACACACTGTCTTCATTATTATAGCCTTCTCCTTCAGACAAGTTTGATTCTGGAAATTGCAATTGATGGTAATCATGCTCATGTCCATACTCATTTGAGTAATCCTGCGGATATTCCCCAGTATGGTATTCTTGAGAATATTCACTTGCAGGGTACTCTCGAAATTGTTGTTCAGGGTACTCCTGGTCCCTGTTTTCATGTTGGGAGGATATACGTGTACAAAAGGCAAACTGTGGCTCTGCTGAATTGAAATCTGAGAGTTCGATGATTTCTGGTCGATCGTCATCACCTGTGGAATGGTCTTCTGATCAATAACTTTCATAAAAAAAGTTCTAGGGCAGCAAGAGAGAAAGATAATGATTTCTAGCCACCAGAATAATCATCAGTTTACTTAGGCTTTGGTCATTAGTAGGCACAATAATATATAGGAAGGTCACTTACAGAAAAATCATGAAGTCAGCCTAGCCATATAGCTTAAGAGACTGTATGGCTACCAGGAAAGTTAGCTAATAATACGAGAGCTCCTAAAGAATAACAAGAAAGTCAGGTTAATATGATTAATAGGATAGAAATCTCATTGTTAATATATGACATTACATGACAATAAGATTAATTTCATACAAAGGAAATTGCATTATTTATTAAATGTAAACGAGCAAATATTTTAGAGTAAAGGAATTATATTCTATTGTTTTTACAAAAAAATATGGTTCACAGCATATGTCAAAAAGACTGAAAATTTTAAATCTATATTTCATACTGTATTACAGTATCAAACAATATGCTATGTACACAAACAAAAATGATGGATGTGAATACTCTTGGATTCAAGATACCAACTGGATACCAACTTTACAACAAGCTTTCCAATTACATGTACCATATAGTGCACTGCATGAGCAACGTTTTTAATTGTACTAAAAATATCACAGCACATCAAGGCTTTACATTAATGACAGGGAAAAAGGCACAGATATTCATAAGGACATTAAAATGAAAAAAAAAGAGCGTTGAATGTAATGAAACGCCATTTTCTGGGCGAGTCCCGGAGGCTCCCTGGAGCTATCCAGGCTGAATGGATATGTATATCTTTCTGGCATCAGTCAATGTATGGAGTTCTTGCCTATCAGGGACCACGAACCACAACCTGGCCCCCCCTCTAGAGAGGCACGAGGAGCAATGGCCTATAGAGACCTCCCTGTGGTTGGGAGCATTCTGTGTCTGCCATCGACCGGGACAGGCACCCAGAGAGGTAGGCGCCCCAAAACAAACCCCTATTCTGGTAAAAGTATTGCGACTGAAAGCCAAAAAGGTGGACAGAACCCCCCTAGACGAAAATTAGCAAACTAGCATGACGGCATCACGTTGCCGCGCCGCTGTCTACGCAACCTCCCCCTCCTCGGGAGGGGGAAGGGAGAGCCCCAGACCCACCCGCTGGCGACCCAACCTACAGTTCTAAGGCTGGATGTTTAAAAAACGTGAAAAACACTGCCGACCGGAGGGAGGGATGCCGGGGAGTCTCTGGAACTCACCCAGAAAATGACGTTTCATTACATTCAATGCTGGTTTTCTGGGGGTAGCCCCGTTGGTTCCCCGGAGCTAACTACCCAAAGATAAGGAAAAACAGGGACTTACCCGGGAGGCTGTTCGTTTTCACTCCTCAACACGATGTCGAGACAACTGGCTGCAACCGCCGACCCAAGGCAACGCAGGCCCTACCTGGTCTCAGAATATTCACCAGGTAGTGAGCAGCCAGGACCCTGTTTGACCTCCAAAAACCCCCCGCCTGAATGTCAACCCAAGACATGTTGCCAAAGATGGCAGCCAAAGCAGCAAACTTATGCACGTCCTGAGCACTGGGATAAACCGCAGGTTGGCTAGACTTAACAACCCTGCGGACAACCTGAGAGACCCGAGCTTGGAAACAGGGAAGAAGGGAAACCGTGTCAATCCAAAGCACATCCCCGACCACCAAAGCCGTGACGCACAAATAACGGCGGAGAACCGCAACCGGACACAACACATGATGCACCCCCGGACTGACCAACCAAGCATCAACAACCCAAGGCCCACTCTAAAATGCATTTGCCATTTCATTTTTTGCCAGAAAAGAAGAAGACAGTGGCAATCAAACAAAACGACCACCAGGACCAAAGGAGCAGAAAACCCTGCGTTGGAGGAGAGCATGAAGCTTCCCGAGCCGACCCCCATGCCAACAGGAAAAGAGCTTTAGAAAAACAATCCCGAACAGAAGGGGCCACAATAAACCGAGAAGAAAGAAACAAGAGCACCCGGTCCAAAGATCAGGATGGCTCAGGAGGCGCACGACGGAGCAGGCTGGAGGTGAAGCAACACCCGAGACAGCTTGCGGAACGGGGCAGAGGAAACGTCAACACAGAAAGCAAGCTGAAGCGGCTCCGCCAACGCCACACGATACGAGGCGACAGTATTCGGCATAAGATGATGGTCCTGGAACAACCAATTGAGAAAGGACAGAACAACCCTATCAGAGACCGAAGAATACCTATGCAGTGATAGGAAGAACTGGAAGGACCACCAAGAAACTTCATACTGCCGCCGAGACGAAGCACACAGGTGGGAGACCAACAACGAAGCCACCTGTGCACCATACAAGTAATGATAAACCAGAGTCAAAAACTCCAGATGCGAAGACCCGAGGAGAAGACCGAACCAGCCTCATACCGGACTGGACCGATCTGCTGAAAAAGGCGGAGCCGCGGGAAGACCCTCGGGTTCGGACACCGAGTAAGCAGCGCCTGAAACCAAGGCTGGGCCAGCCACCAAGGCTGCGCCAGCTACCAAGGCCAGAAGGACAATGCTTCCCTGGTAAGTCTCCAAGTGAGCCAAGACCTGGAGCAACAGCTGAAGCAGGGGAAAGAGGTACAGGTAACCCCACCTTGCCCAGTCCTGCCTGAAGGCTTCAGCCCTGACAACCTTGCAGTCGGGGAAGGGCTCCACGTACACCGTCAGATGCCTCGACCACGCCGACACGAAGAGATCCATGTCCGGAGTCCCGAACGTCTGGCACAGCCAATGAAAAGAGTCGGCATCAATTGTCCATTCCATGGAAAGGGGAAGGAAATGAGACAGGCCGTCTGCCAGGATGTTGGACATCCCCCGGACGTGAACCGCCAGGAGAGCCAAACCCCAAGAACTCAGCAGACTAGTCACCCGAAGCGACCAGCCCCAAAGAGCCAAGGACCGCATCGAATCTCCTCGGTTTGGGCAATGAACCACCAGGGAACAGTCCGAATGGAGCCAGATCATCGATCTGCGAGCCACTCGAACCCTCCAGAGCGACATCCACACCGCCGCGAACTCCCTGACCGTGCTGTGAGCCCGACGGAAGGACAGACCCCCGCCGCCCCTGGCCGGCCTGGTGAGCACTGGTCACAAAGCCCCAGCCAAGAGACGATGTGTCCATGAACACATCGAGTGTAGGCTCGGGCAAGTGCCAAGGCATCGAACCGTGAAAAACCCGAAGAGGAAGCCGGAGACGCAGCAACCGACGCAAAGCCCCCAGAGGCCGAACCCAATAGTCGCAACAGAGGTGGAAAGAACGTTCCTGAAGGACCCAGAACAGCTGACGAAGCCATAGCCGACCCGGTGGGTAGACCACCATGGCAAAGTTCAGGCTTCCGCCGCGTGACCCGGGAACCCTTCAGAAACAGATGAAGGCGGGACCACAGGCAAAGCAGAGCCGCCGGAGGCAGAGACAAGGAAGCGGTGCGAGCGTCCCAAACCAGACCCAGCCAAGACCAAACCTGAGAGGGAAACAGATGGGGCTTCCTCCAGTTCACCAAGAACCCGAACCCGGCGAGCTGGGAAAGAACCAAATCCCTGGCGAGCAGATACATGGACTGGCTGGGAGCCCAAACCAGCCAGTCGTCAAGCTAGGCCAGAACCCGAACACCTAACAGAAACAGACGGGACACCATGACCTGAGTAAGGCGTGTGAAAATGCGAGATGCCAGATTCAAGCCGAAGGAAAGACAACGAAAGCGATAACCTTGATGCCCCATAACAGAATCGAGCCAGTCCCTGAACCTCAGATGAACCGGGACATGCCAATACGCGTCCTTGAGGTCCAAGGACACCATCCAAGCGCCCGGCTCCTACAGAAGACGGACCAGGGACAGAGTAGTCATCAAGAAGGAGGGGAAATAAACCCACAGGTTCAGAGGGGACAAATCCAGAATGAACCAGAGGTCTGCGCAATCCCGTTTTGGGACCGGAAACAGGCGGGAAACCCACCGGAGGTATGTCGTCGTTTCGACCACGCCCAGGTGAACACACTCTGAGATGAACCGACAGAGTGCAGGAAATGAGGCCTGCCCTGCCAGCCCCAAATCTCCCAAGGGAGGAGGAGCCATCCAAGCCACCACAAGTTGCACTAAACGACCCGAAAAGCCAACGAATCGTGGGACCAGGAGCGAGCAAACAGGGCAAGCCGCCCCCCCACCCCCCCATTGCCCCGTCAATGGGGAGAACCGTGAAAGGACTGATGCGCCTTGCGAGAACTTAAGCGGCGAACAGGGTACTTTCCACACCAACCAGAAACAGCCGGAACCGGAGGCTGCACCTGCCCCAAATCTGGCACCAATGGCCTACCATGATGAAAAGAACCCCAAGCCCTGGCACGACCTTTCCGGGAAGGCCCCCCACGAGCCCCCCAGAGCAACATCAACTCAGACATAGGCCGAGAACTAACTGAGGCCGCCTGCAGGTACTGCACCACAGCAGACTCAGCAAACAGCAACGGACAAAAAGGAGAAGACAACCGAAGAGCCAGGGCCTAAGCGGACTCTAAAGAAGAAGCTAGCACCGTCTGCCAACACTCGAGGCGAGAACCATAGAACCGCGAAACCACATCATGCGGGACCGGCGTAAAGAGCTTCAACAAAGCAGCCGATGACCGGACTGCAGAGGGCAGCGCACCAGACCCAGCAGTGGCCCCAAGCGTCCCCACATCCAACTCAAGCCAGTCCGAGGACAGCTCAAGTAGGGAAAAGAAATGCAGAACCGAAGCAAGCATGCCACAAATATGCAAATCCTCCACCACCAAGACAGCCGAAAGGGAACGAACCTGCACGTGAAGCTGCATGACACCAACATCCCACGGAAGGGCAGGGGCGAACAAACAAGCATTGAGATGCTCGAAGGCACCCCCCAAGAAAACCTGAAATGCCGACTGAGTCTCTCGCCACTCAAGCGCGCGTGACCGACAGAACGTGTGCCAAGTCTCCAACAAAAAAAAATCCTGGTCTG